AGAGCCAGTGCGTGGCTGAACTGGGATTGAAGTTCTGCTGTCCAGCTCCAGCATCTGAGCTCTTAGCAGCCACACTATCCTGTCTCTTGGGGCCAGTCTGTCCCTTATCTGGTGGTACCATCCTTATCTGTGTCTGTGTCTGTCCACCCCACTAGGCAGGAAGCTCTGAGGACATGTCTCCTTGACAGTGTCCTCTGTGCTTTGGTCTGAGCCTGTGCTCAGTGAGGGTGCTGGTTGTAGGGAGAGATGGATAACACCTTTGAGCCTACCACCATGCTCTCTTGCATCTGAGCAGCTGGTCCCTGAGCCAGTGGACCCAGTAGCCAGGTGGCACTGAGGGCTGCACTTGGTCTGGGTTTGGCTGGAGGAGGGATGAGTCCTGAAACAAGGTCCCAGAGGAGTGCAGGAAGGAGGTGGGAATCGCTGCCATCAGTCAGCTTTGTAATGGGTGGCAGAGCCCTGGGTCCTAAGGCTGGGCTGCCTGCAGCCTGAGCTGAGTGCAGCACACAGGTCTCCTTCTCTACCTCCCCCCTACTTGTTCCCGCTGCTGTTTGCGGGGGGGGGGGCACTTCCAGGATTCCAGACAATGCAGACAGCTAGAAACCAGCCAGGAGGCCTTGAAGAGAGAAGAGAGAAAAAAAGGAGGAGGACAGATATAAGAAGGGTGGGTGGAAGGTCACAGGGCCCTCTGCATGGCATGGTGGCCCTGGCTCACAGCGCTGGAGTCAGGTGCTCAGTCCAGCGTGGACACCAGGACACAGGAGCTGTCTTGGCCCACTGCAGGGTGAGCTGTGAGCTACCAGGTTGGGCCCGTACCTGGTGCTGTCCTGGGGACCCTGCACCAGGCCTCAGAGGATCTTCACCTACAGCTGGCCCTAGGGCTGGGTGCAGAGCACTGGAGACAGGCTCTTCACTCCTTTCGCGCCAAAGGAAGACTTTTATCTGCTTCAGTCTCCAGAGTTGGCCAGTGCGGCAGAGGCGTCCACTTCCTTTAGTTCCCCAAATGCAGAGTTATTATCGTCTATTCCATGACATTCCTGCGTTTCTTTCTATAGAATATATACTGATTTTCTCCAAAACTGCATTCAGGGTGAGGTTTCAGGTGCCGCTCACCCCAGGGCCCCAAGGCTCAGTTCGCTGCTGTGACCCCAAGGAAACTGCCCGGAATCCCTAAGTTGGGGCATCAGGGTCCGCGAGGCGGGAGGGGTCCCAGCTGCTCGTCGCCCCCCTCCCCAGCCGCCCGAAGGCGGAACCTAAGCCGCCGTTGCTATGGGCCCGCGGCAGACGGCGGGGTTTAGGGTTCCCAGCGCGGGCGGGTGTAGCGCGCGGGATTAGGTGAATTAGGGAGCCGGAGGCCGATCGCCTCCGCCGCAGCGGCCGGGCCCTGCGCGCCATGGAGCCCCCCGGCCGCCCTGCTGACCCCGGAGAGGAGCGCGCTCTGCAGCCCGGCAAGTGGGCGCTCGTCCGCAGCCTGAATCAGGCCCTCAAGACTTTCGCAGTCCTGCGGGTGAGAGGGAGCGGGAGGGCGCGCCCAGCCAGCTGGGCCTCAGTTTCCCCGCCGGTCAGGCGTGGGGCCGGCCACAGAGTCTCAAGGCCCTGGTACTGCAGAAGGTCTGCAGCCTGGGATCCTGTATGTTGCCTCCCACCCCGGAGTGACTCTCCCCAACCCGCCTCTAGGCAGGGAGGTTTTGCTTGTGGAAAACCAGGGGTGGGTAGGAAGAGAGACTTCCAGCCTTTTCTGAGGTGAAAGCAGGGAGTGCCCCCTGGGCACAGAGGGGCCTCAGCCAACCTTTGCTGGCCAGCTAACTGCCAGAAAAGCATGACCACTCTGGGTCCCCTCAGTCACCAAAAGTGAGCAGCCAGACACTTCCTTGCTCATAGGTGCCTCTGCAAGAGACTGCCTGGCCTCTCCCACCTGTGAAATGGGGCTGATGAAACCACTCTCCCTGAGCACTCAGGAAGATAAACAAGGGTGAGGGCTGAGGGTAGGGGTACTGGGACAGACTCAGTGTCTTCCAAAAGCAGGTGCCCAAATGCAAGCCAGGTCCCAGAGGAGGGAAGAGGCAGAAAGGCCTCAGCCCTGTGCAGAGTCGATGTCCTTCTGAGGCTGGTCTGCTGCCTGGGAGGAGGCCTGCATTTGCGAGTCTCTCCTCTTCACCTGTGCTGACTCTCCGTTTTAAGGCTGGTGAAAAGTGAGGCCCGGAGAGACCGAATGACTCATCTGAAGTCACACAGCCTCAGTAGCAGAACTGCGACCAGAGCCCCAGGCACTTGACCACAGGCTCACTGTGGCTGTGTGCGGGCTTTCCTATGTGTGTGGCGGGGGCACTGGGATTTGGGGGTAACCTTGGGAATACTTAAGTGGACCTGTTCTAGGAAATCACTACCCTAAGGCTGGGAGCCTGCAAAGCTGGGGGTGGGGTGTTAAGGGCCCCTCTGCTCTAGCCACTCACCTGACAGTTGAAAAACTAGAACTTGTCCCAGGTTACACAAGCCACACCAAGGCATGTGGCCAAGCCACAAATGGGACCTTCAATTCAAGGTGAGGTCCCCGCAGGGGCAGTGGGGCTGGATGTCATGCCAGCCTGGGGATTAGGCCTGGAGCTGGGTCCCCTGTCCTTGTGGCCACGTCCTGCCTCAATGAAGTGTCCTCCTCCATCACAGCCTCCTTCCTCCTTCCCTTCGCTCCCCTGACCAGTGACCCTGTGTTGGTTCTCACTCTGTCTTCCAGGTGCCAACAAGCCTACCCGTCACTGTTTCTATGAGTGACTGTGCCAGATTCCTTTTTCTCTTTGGGCCTCAGTTTCCTCACCTGTAAAATGAAGACCCTTACTTCCTGGCTGCATTCTGACATCAGAACTTTCTCTGGGGCCAGAGGAATGTTTGTCTTCAGAGATTGTCTTGCCTCAGACTCTCCCTGAAGCCCCTTAGTTGTTATTTGAAAATATTTCCTCAACCTCTGGCCTGCACTAGAAATAGTTGTCACTGTCCTACTGGTGACAGATGGATGGATGGATTTAAAAATGAAAATCATTCATGCCATTTCCCGAGATTGAAAGAGTTCTAGGCACTTCTGCTTTCTGTGTGGCTCTGAGCACCTGAGTGGCCTCTCTGAGCCTCTATTTCCTGCTCACATGAGGTTTTTGTTTTTGTTTTGTTTTAGTGGTGCTAGGGATTGAACTCAGGGCCTTTTCATTGAGTTACACCCCAGCACTTTAAAAATTTTTTTGTTTGTTCTGAGGCAAGGTCTCACTAAGTTGCTAAGCTGCGCAGGCTAGGCTCAATCTTGTCCTCTTCCTACATCAGCCTCCCAGAGTTAGGATCACAGGCCTGCACCACCGCGCCTGGTCACAAGGTGTTTCATTTTGGCTAGTCTGTTTTCTCAGTGAGGAAGAAATTTTTCTTTGTGCCAGGACTTGTCGGGGTCAGGGTTGCAAGTGACTCCTCCTAGGCCCAGGGACCTTATCAGTGTTTCCTGTTTTGCTCAGGACGGGGCCCAGGGAATGTTGGGAAAGAGCACTGGGTTTGGAGTCTGTCAGTCCTGATCTTTGGTCTGGCTGTTCCCACAATACAGCTGTGTGACCCTGGACACATTCTGTGACCTGTTTGAAGAGATAAAGTGGGGACAGAATCCCCCACATGAGGGTCATCGTGAAGGTCAAGGGCATCTTATTATAGGGGACATCTAGCTTGCTGGGAGCGGGCTGTGGGGTGTGGTGAGTTCTCATGGAGCAGGGTTCGGTGCCCCTGGCTCCTGAGTTAGCCCCTTGCACAGGCGCTGCACCCCTCACACACATCCTTTCACACACAGTCATGCCGCACACTTCCGCGCACATTCACACTGCTCTCACTGCCCCTCCTCTCTCACTGAGGCCTGTTCTCTTCTTGGCTCTGGGCAGTCAGGGGTCCGCTGTGGGGTTGCGCTGTGCTTTGGGAGTGGGGGCTGTGGAGCCCAAGGGGAATACTCCATTCTCCACTCTCCACGAAGCAGCCGGGTGTGAAGAGGGACAGTTGGATGAGCTCCCCACTCTCATCAGATCCTGCCTTCTTGCTCTTCCTTCCTGCCTCGTGGTCTTTACCCACGCCACTCCCTCTGTGCAGATTATAATCCCCTGCCTTTTCCTCAGCTGGCTGCTTCTTATGCTCCAGGTCTCCGCTCCGAGTCTGAGGCTGGCCACCTCTGTCATCCTCCACTGTTAGCATCCTTACCACCTTCACAGTGCCCACCAGTATCTGAAGGGATTGTGTTAATAATAGACCTGCTCAGTTGTTCATTTTCTGTCTCCTTCAGATAGGATGTAGACTCCATAGTCACTACCCATCTCCAGCCTTTAGCTCAATTAGGTCTTGTATTCAGTGGATCCTTAATACATGTTTAACACATTAGCACTGGCTGTGGTTGTCTTGAGGCCATTTCTCTGCTTTAAGTTTTAGATTTGCTTTCCATGAGCCCTTCTGTGTAGTGAGAACCAGGCTCCAGGCCACATAATACAGGGGACGTAAAGTGACACTTGCCCTCCAAGGTCAGGGCTGCCTCCACAAGATAGGATACAGCATGGCCCAGCAGTGTATGGAAGGGACTCATCACTAGGATGAGAGAATCTGCCCTGGAAGTTGGGGTGTCATCTCCTGAAGACAGAGGAAGCGGTTTGAGTGGTTTGGTATTTGTGTCCCAACCCCAGTGAATCCACCAGGCATAGGTCCTAGGAAGCCAGGCTTTAGGCAGGCCTGGGTTGGAACTGTCCTGCTGTGAGACTGGATTTTCTCTCTGAGCCTGTACTTGCCCCTCTGTAGAATGGGGAGAGTAATGGTTGTTCCACAAGAGGGCTTGGTAACATCGTGGAAGTCCCAGCCCAGGGTCTGGCACCAGAAGGTCCCTGAAAGCACAGCTTTCCTTCCTTCTCTATGTCAGAGGGGAGCCTCCAGTGGTACTGGAGTTGGGCAGAGGGCTGCCGGGAAGGGTACCTGCCTCTGCTCATGCCTGGGCCTCTCGCCCACAGGGGGACTATGTGTGGATGGACCTGCGATCCGGGCAGGAGTTTGACGTGCCCATCGGGGCTGTGGTGAAGCTCTGCGACTCCGGCCAGATCCAGGTGGTGGATGACGAAGGCAATGTGAGTAGCCATGCCCTCTGCCAGCCCCCATGTCTGGGGAGCACAGGGCTGCCGGTGCCCCAGGGCAGGGGCCAGGAAGTGACCTGCATGGAAAGATGGAGGGACTCAGTCCTGTGCTCCCACTTCTGCCTCTCAGACACCTCCTCTTCTATGCAGCTTTCCCCACTTCTCTAGCAAGAGGGGTCTCCCCTTCTCTGCCCAGGCTGCCTGTTCCACATCCCCAAGCACCTGACCCATTCAGCACAGTCTTTGAAGAAAACGTGTCAGGCACAGGGCTGCCTTGAGGGTGGACAGATTGGATTCAAATCCCATCTCGCCCACTTATTGGCTGTGCAACCTTGGCCAAGTCTCCTTCCCTTCCAAATCTCAGTTTCCTCTTTTCTAAGATGTAGATAAGCCTAACTTTCTCTTGGAGCTCTTGGCTCCCAAATCACACATGCAAAGCCCCTCAGTGAAGTTAGTGCCAGCCTGACAGTTAGTTGGTCTGTAAATGCCTACAATCTTGCTCTGTCTCGTCATGGCATCAGATGAATCCCTTGTCCACTGGGACACTGCCCTGGGAATCAAGCTAACAGGTTAGCCCTTGACCTCTCAGGGCCCAGAAGAAAAGGGACACAGGAAGTATAAACTTGATAGGTGATGATAATGGGGCTTTGTGCAAGGAAGGTGAGCTCTGAAGCCAGTGTTGTGCCCCGGGGAAGGTGGGGCTCTGTACAGGGGAAGCTTAGAGCCTCTGAGCATGTGGACAGCATGCATGTGCACCTGTGTGACACTGGGGACAGGTAGGTGCAGTGCAGAGTGGTTGCAGCTTGGCAGGAACATGAGGGACCAAGGGAGATTCAACTTCGGATAGTGCCCAGTGTTGTGCCTGGCACTGGGGACAGAGATACACCTGAGTCCCTGTCTCAGCTCCCAGTCTGAGAGGGGAGAGGAAAAATAGGGTGCAGTGACTTGGAACGGAGGCTCTACTCAGGGAGGGGAGGCCCAGGGGTCTCTAGGCTGGGTGGTGGGTGTGGAGTGGACAGGGGTCCCACTGATATCCCGAGGCCCTCCAGGGCACCCTCTCAGGGTTTGCAAAGCCCTTTGACACAAGTTCCATCTTTAGAACTTCACTGTATTTGGGATAGGCAGGGTGGGCTAAACTGTTATCCTATGGGGAAACTGAGGGACTGAGAGGGCCCACATGGCTAGTTACACAGCTAGTAAGTGACAGTGCTAGGAGCAGAACCCAGGACTTCTGGCTTCTATGCATGAGGTTTCCCTGGTCAGCATCTCAGTGGCAACTGTGAGACTCGGGTTCCATTAGCCATGCCTTTGTCCCCAGGGTTTTGGAACTAGGGGTCTACAGCATCTTCCTGAGGCTCCAGCTCTAGGACCCCCTAAGATGCCACTGTGAGGCTGCAGTCACAGAGGAGGGGACACAAGGCACAGCTGGCAGCATAGACAGACCTGTGTACCTGCCTGGAGTCCCCAGGGTGGGGACCAAGGACTCTGCCTGCAGGCTTAGGTTTCACCTGGGTTATGTTGCATGTCAGCTGGTGTCCCGTAACTCTGTGTCACCAGATCCCTTCCCATGCTGCACCCCCAGGCCCCAAGACTGGGGGCTGCAGGGGGCGGGGCATGAATAGCTGGCAGGGGACACATTAGAGAGGCTGGGGAGTTGCCTCAGTGGTACTGGGCTCTGAGGTTTCTGGCCCCTTTTCTGTCTCTACCCCCCCTTCCATTCTGGACCATTGTCCTCTACCCCACATCCTTCCACAGACTCCCAGCAACTTGAAGCAGGCACCAGGCAAGTCACATCTGGTTCCCCAGAACTCAGGGGGCGGGGTCTATCCAGGGAGTGCTATCACTCAAGCCCTGTGTGAAGGGTTATGGGTCCAGTCCTCTCTGGGACCCTGGGTTCCACCTTCAAAGCCATTCTCCAGGCCAGAGGGCCCTCTTTCCCTTCCTCCACGCAGCACCTTTTCTCTCCAATCGCAGTCCCAGCCAGTTCTTTCTCAAATGTGTCCTCAGTCCCTGGAATTATCCATGTTTATTGTCTCCCTGTCTTTATATTTCTCTGTCTCTCAAACTCTCTCTCTCTTGCTCTTGCTCTCCTTTTGCCCCCTCCCCCATTCCCCTGTTTCTTCCTCTCCCTCCCATTGTCTCTGGCATTCCTTCAGGGCCTGGCCTGGCTCCTGCCCTGGTTACACTTTGCCCTGGGCTAAGCCATAATGCTATGGACCTTGTCCGAGGCTGCTGCCCTCAGCTGGGAGGGGGAAGTGGCTAGCTCTGCCTCTTAGCTGGGTCAGTCATTTTACCCCGTGAGTCTGACTTGTCACTATAGAGCGAGGTCTGTAATTCCATTCCTGAACATTATGAGGAGTGAATTAGAGCATATGTCATCTTTATAGAACCAAACATGATAGAGGACTCATCCCCAGCACTGGTTGAGCATATCCTGGCCCCAGCACTGTGCAGACCTGGCAGGAGAAGGCTATCCACAAGAGATTCCAGCATCCCCTGGAAGAAGGCATTGTCCTCCACCCACTTTATAGATGAGGTCATGGAGGCTCAAGAAGGCCAAGTGACCTGCACAGAGCTGCAGGCATGTGGCAGCTGTGCTGCCTCCTAACCTGGGTGCTGAACCATCCTGGAAGGAACCGTGCACTGGGGGTGGGGCCGCCCAGTGGGGAAGGCATTCACCGTACCCAGGAGCCCTTCCCCTCTGACCATGCCTGGGCCTAGGTCAAGACAGGCACAGGGACAGGCAGAGGGAATTTTCTAAACGGATCAGCTTTTATCAAGAAATAGGGTGTCTTGGAGCGAGGAATGTTCCACAAGGGACTGGAAAGTCCAGGAGGGTTGTTGACCTCACCATCTGGCCCCTCGGGCCTTAGGAAGGGCTGCGTGAGGGCCTATCCTGGACTGAATCTCCTGGCCACAGAGCACCATGGAACTGTGTGGCTGGCTCAGCCTGATCCTGTCCCTCTGGGTTCCCTGGCCTGGCCAAGAGGCAGGGGATGACCCAGGTGGGAGACAGCGGTCTGGATGGGGTGCAGCTACCACCGTTTGGTGCTGAGAGGGTGGGACTGGGTGCTAGCTGGATGCGGCAGAAGGACTCATGCCCAGATTCTTGCTGGTGTCTAGCTTTGGGCTGGTCGTGCTGGAGAAAAGCTGGAGGAGGCACAGGTGTGGAGGTGACTAGTGCATCACCTCTGCTCAGCGAGTCTGAGCACTTGAGCTGGGAAGTGGCCTAGAGGCCCCCTTGCCCCTCAGATGGTCGGTTCCTATCTGCTTCCAGGCTCCTGGGTCATGGCATTTGGTAGTAGGAGGGCTGTGGGGCTCCACTCCTGCTGCAGGCACAGCCTGGAGTTCAGGTCAGACTCTTGCTCCGCAGAATCTGGAATGGAGAAGGTGTTGGAGACCCCAGCAAAGAACAGCTCCAAGAGCTGGAGGAACCCAGGGTTTTGCAAGCTGGACGATGCACCTGCCTGCCACCTCGTGGCCAGGAGGAATATTGCAGGGGAGAATAGAGGGACTGGAAGGTTACCTGCACCTGGTCACCCTCAGCTCACAGACACGTAGTTCTCCTCTTGCTCCATATGTCATCAGCAAGCTCTGTGATGTGTGTCCGCTAGGCCAATGTCTCCTTGTGGCTGTGGGCTTTCCTTCTGACATGCCATGCCTACTCCAGCTTCCAAGTTGCTGTTCTTGCTGTTTCCTGGGCTTGGCATTCCCTCTCTACATCTTCTTATGGGGTTTCTTTCTCCTTATTTGGAACTCAGCTCAAGTGCCACCTTCCCAGAAAGGTGGCTCCTGAGCATCCTACCTAATTAGCTCCCTCTGTGGTTCTCCATGCCTGTCTGTTTATTCTTGGCATTATCCAAATTACTTTTTATGTATTTGTTTACTGGACATTGGATTTGAAGTCAAGTCTGACTCCAGTTATTACACTTTACACTCTATCTAAAGTGACTGGGGGGAGGTGTCTGAGCGCCTTAATGACAACCTTAAAGTGGGCCCAGTGTCCCTGCCCTGTCCACCTTCCACCTTGCAGTGGGCAGTACCATCCTGGAAGATCGCCTGTTAGAACTGAAGGTGCTTGGCCTCAGTGGGGTTGCTCCTGACCCCTTCCCAGGCGCAGCACAGCCTGGGCCCAGGACAGTGAGCTGACTTTAAGGCTGTGCCTCCACAGGAACACTGGATCTCCCCGCAGAACGCCACACACATCAAACCCATGCACCCTACCTCGATCCATGGTGTGGAGGACATGATCCGCCTGGGGGACCTCAATGAGGCGGGCATCCTGCGAAACCTGCTCATCCGCTACCGGGACCACCTCATCTACGTGAGTATCATCCAGGAGCCCAGCCTCCTGGAGCCACCACTCTGCAGCTGACCTCTGCCCAGGACTCATCTGCCTGAAGCTCATCCTCCTGGGTGGTGCTGATGTGGCATGTGGCTGGGAGGGGACTGTTTGCAGTACAGGCTCCTGTGCCTCCATAGACTTGAAGCCACTGGGAAGCCAGGGCTCAGTTAGTAACAGGCTTAGCACCCTGGCCAGGACGGGGGTGGGGGTGGGGATGAAGACCTTTGTAAACACTGGGTGTTTGCTGTGGGTTTGGGGCAACACTGGGTCCTCAAGGCCAGAGGAGCCCAGCTAAGGAGTATATGTCCTCAAAAAGGGGATGGAGCAGGACCTCAAAACCTTGAATTCAGGCCAGTGAGCCCTTTCTTCTCCACATCGAGACCCAAGAGACAAATGAAGCCCATCTAAGGCAGCAAGAACGACAGTGGACCAAGAGGGTGATTCAGAGGATAGCCGAGCACAGGCCTGGAGGCCATTTAGTCTCGAAGTTCACATGCCTTTGGGTCACAAGAACCCAGAATGAAAATGAGGATAGGGGAATTAGAAGAGGAGGGAGGGAGAAAGGAGGGAAGAGAAAGGGGAAAAAATTATCGAGGACCCCATACAGCTACTTTTTAAGTGGACTATATCTATCGAATTTACTCTATTCTAATTTAAAACAGAAATTTAAGAACTATTTATTAATTTACTGAAAATAACCACAATAGGATCCAGGCATGGTGGAACAAGCCTATGATCTCAGCACTTTGGGAGGCTGAGACAGGAGGATCACAAATTCAAATCCAGCCTGAGCAACTTAGTAACTCAGAAAGGCCCTGTCTCAAAATTAAAAAATGAAAAGGGCTGGATTCAATCCTCAGTGTGAAGGTCTGGGTTCAGTCCTCAGTAATGAAAAAAACCCCATAATAAACCCTTTACAGCATAGCATATTTTAATGGGGGAAAACTGTTTGTCAACATAAAAAAATTAGCAAGCACAGTGGTATTGCTTACAGGTTTGTCAGATCTCTTTAATTCTGCTCGATGGGTTTCATGTCTGCTTCCAGGCATGCAGTCTGATGTGCTATTTGGTTGGACCATGAGGAGACAATTTGGCCTCACAGGTTGTGTGTGTGTGTGTGTGTGTGTGTGTGTGTGTGTGTTACTGGGGATTGAATGAGAAGCCTCACCCATGCTAGCCGAATACTACTATTGAGCTATATCCCCAGTCCTTTTTAAAATTTTGTCTTAAGACAGAGTCTCACTAAGTTTTCTAGGTTGCTTAGGCTGGCCTTGAACTTGCAGTCCTCCTGCCTCAGTCTCTCTGGTAGTGGGGATTATAGATGTGTATCACTGCACCTGGAAGGTCTCATAGACTCGTAGATGGTAAGGGAAGACCTCGCATATTTCTTGAGAGGGGCTTTGGGACACACACACGTGTCTTTTTAAATACTCTGGAGAACTGCTCTAGTCCAGTAGCCCTATTTTAAGACAGGGAAACTGAGGCCCTTCCGTGTCTGTCATCCTTCTGACCCAGCACCACCCACAGCAGCTTAGAATGAAGGAAACCAAGTGTATGACAAGAGGAGGGCAGGAAGGAGCCCCGTGAGCAGGGCAGGCCTGGTTCTCCCAGCCCTGGCCAGACAGGTGCGGGTGGCTTGCTCAGGTGGGCAGGGTAGGAGGTGAGGGGTGGTGAGTGCCTGAGAGAAGGTGAGGGAAGGCTCTGAGGGTGGAGACTCCTGCTCGGGGAGTGGTAGGCAGGCTCCTGGGGGCTGGTGAAGTCAGCCTCGGAGATGGAGACACCTCTAGCAAGAGGCACTGCATGAATAGAGGGCTGGAAGCTGGGCCAGGGACTGTCATTCAGCTTGTCAGATGGGAAGGGGAGCCAGGCTGGAGGAGTCTGAGGGAGACCTGGAAGTTGCCCTTGAGGAATCACAGCAAGGCATTCTGGGGACCTGGGCTCCAGTCCTCCTGGCAGCAGTGAAATTTGGAACCCTCCCTCAGCTGCCAGAGCGGCCACTGGCCACCCTCCCACTCAGGTCTCTGTGGTTTCTGGCTCCCCAGAGGAGCAGTTGTGCCCGGGGAAGCAACACCCACCATGTGGGCCCAGCAAGCTGCTTCGCAGGGAGCTTTTTGGTACTGGAGGAGCCCCCTCCCTATTTCCCCTGCTCAGGCCTCACCTGCACTCGGACGTAGGGCACAGGAGGCACCTCCAGACATGCTCAGTGTCACCAGGGCAGAGGCAGAACTCAAGCCTAGGGCCGGGACACCTTACTGCATCCCAGAAGCCCCCTTGGGTCTGCACAGTATTCTTGGCAGCTCGCCCCTCTCTCCTCTCCCTGAAGGGCAGGTGTGTCCCGGAACTCTGTGCTAGTGAGCGGGGAGCCTGCCTGTCCACCTGAAGGTGGGGGTTACTACCAGAGCTGACAGACGTGCTGTCATTGTCCCTGTGCCTGAGGGGCCTGACCCCAAGGCCCACTCTCCTGTCAGAAGGTATAGAGGGTCCTCTAACCTTCCGGACTTCTTTTGGGGGAAGACAGGTGGCAGCCCCTTTGGGGTGGGGAGGCCCTAGATGAGGTGAGGGGGGAAGGCTACCTTCTTGTCAGGGCCTCTGGCCAGAAATCCAGCTGTGGTACCTCAGCCTGAGACTCGTGGCAGTGGGTCTGGGGATGTGTGGGGATTCAAAGAGGCTTCCTCACCCTGATGCATCCATGGTTCTGTGACTTGGAGAGTGAGGACTAGTGCGAGGCTTTGTAGAGTGATCCAGGCCATTGTCCCACCCTGAAACCGTACCCATCCCTAGCCATGGCAACCCCATCACTTCATGGATTGAGTTACCCTGAGCACAGCCCTATGCACCCAGGATTTCCTCAGGTTACCACAACTGGCTCACAGCCTTGGGCTGAGTGGCCACTCTGTCCCTGTTTTCCCAGGGCTTCCTGCTTCCAGCTGGCCCATCCCCAGGAGCCCAGGAGCCCAGGAGAGCACCCCACAGTTCCTGACCAGCCCTGGGCACCACAGAATGGGAGATGGCTCTCAGAGGGCAACTAGCAGCCCCTCACTGGGTAGCCCCAGGGGCCACTCGTCGTGCCTGGGACCTGTGGGGAATAGGTGGCAGGGCAGTGGGGACCCGGGGATCCCTGATGCTGAGCAGAGCCTGGAGCCTGTCTGGAAGGCGGGAAACCATGGCTGGGTCTTGGCTAGTGGCACGGGGGGTGCCCCAGGCCTGTCTGATCTCAGACTTCCTGTGGGCACAGTGGGACCCTACATGGGGAGAGCACCCCTTGCAACTGCGGGCAGCTGCACGAGTCCCAGGGTGGCTCTTGGGCTCCACAGCCTGCCAAGTGCTGATGGAGGAGTCCCCAGGGTGGCAGGCCTGGGGCATCCTTGGGGGAGGGGAGCCGATGGTGGAACTGGTTCCTGCCACAGCGCTCTCTCCTCCTAGAGGCCCCTGATCTCTGCCTGGGGACTTGGGGCCCCTGGGGGCCACATGTACTGTGTCCTTGTCTTGGGGATAGTCCTTATCTTCTCCCTGGGCATGTTTTACTCCTAGAATTGAGCAAGAGGCCTCTGCTGGGCAGGGGGACTGAGTTCTGTACCACCCTGGACCCTCAGAGAGAAGCTTACGGGACAGTGCGAAGACCTCACAAGACCACTGAGCACAGAGGCCCGGAGCACCCAGGGTCTCACTGCCAGCAGACACCAGCCCCTCAACTATTTCTACTGCCCTGGCTGCCACCTGCCAGCTCCATGGGTCCCAACGGTGCATGCCTGGGGCATGGGGAATCCCAGGGAGAGGCCAGCTGGGGCTCTGGTGCAAGGGTCCCTTGTTCATCCCACTCCCTGGTGTCTGCAGGGTGATCTTGGCTGGTCCCTGCACTCTTAGGAGGTTACTTTTCCATATTTGGGGGCCTTCTGAGGAGCAAAGGGATGAGGTAGAAGGAGCTACAGAATCCTGCCCCCGCCCCCAGGTCTTCTGCAGTTGGTTTGTACTTGCTTTTCTGCTAGGGAGGATCCTCTTCACTGAGAAAGGAGGCTCAGAGAGTTTTTGTTGTTATTTTTGTGGTGCTAGAGACTAGACCTAGTGTTGTGCCAAGTGAGCTGATAAATCACCAAACACTGGGACCAATGGCAAAGTTAAACTGAAAGGAGTTTATTCATGTGGGTGGACTCCACTCCCTAAGCGAAGTGAAGCCCTGAGTCCAGGAACAGCACAGTTTATATAGGGTGTTATAGCAGCATAGCTTTTATAGGTGTTATTTTAAGAAGAGAAATTCAAGGGTAGATTAACATGTTTTTGACTAGTTGCAAAAGTATTTTTCACAACTCAGCTATCTTGTTGTCTTGTCAGGTTGGGGCAATTTACAGTAAAGGGAGGCACCAGGCACTATCTCTTTCTGAGAATCGATGAAGCAAGTTTACAGAAGCAGAACAAGCAGTTACAAAAACATCTATTTTATAGGGGGAGGGGCATGAGGCGACATTTCTTGGGTTTATCTTGGTCTCACAATCCCCACTGATTTTTGTACAGAATCAAACCTTTGATTCATCATTTTATCTCTACATCTCATTTTTACATAATCTCTCTTTTTTTTTTAAGCAATGGTTCATACATCTGGCTTAACAACATGATTTTTACATTGTCTTTTTGTTTGGACACATACCTGGGTATAACCTTTAGCATGCAGCAACATGATAATAAGCACACAATTACAACTATGACCACAAGAAAAAGCTGTTTTAACCATTGTATGTCAGGCAACCATTGGGTTAACCAGTGGAACAAATCCCATCCTAAGTTTTTATTATGTACTTTTTCTGCCAACTTTTTAAATTGTTTTATTTTTTTTTTGTATCCCTGGGCTGTTGTCGGTCATATTTAAACAACACATATTTTTTATTTTTTTACATCTTTGATGATGGAGTAGGAGCAAGTAATCTATTGCTGCCCTGTTGTCTAGTATGGCTTGTCAGTGTTTTTGTAATTCCTGATTAATTAATGTCAGTGCAGATGAGGTAGCATTTAAACCTTTGACCACCTTACATGCCAATTTTTGTACCGCCTTTTCAGCATGAACCCCTATGGAAGGCAGAGCAACCACAGATGCTATCATAGCTATTACTTCAATATCTGTTAAAAGACCTACATCATCATCGCATCCTGGTTCAGTATAGGGTGACCATCATTTAACTCTGTTGGGCATTATCAGATCAGTTTGATCTGGCAATATTACAGCCAATCAACTTAAGCAGCACTGGACCTCAGATAAGTAGGCAGGGATATAATTAAACATTACTCCTTTACATGTATAAAACCATCCTAATGGTAAGGGTATATAACCCTCACTGTATATGATCTTTTGTTTTTTATAACAAGTCAATTTTTTCTGATCTTTTTAATTTTAGACATCTTGTAGTACAATTTTTATATAAAGCACATTGTGTATGATTTAACATAATCACCCAAGGTATATATAACTTAATAGCATTTTTTGGTTTAAAATAAGAAGGGGTCCCCCAATTGTAACTATCTTTATACATAAGATTTTTTCCTGGGATGTCTTTAAACAGGGTGTAAGGCTGTATCAGACTCAAGGGAGTACACACAGGGACGAGACAACTCCCTAGTATGTAATGGAAATTTACATCTATATTTAAACAGAACTCAGACAGATTAAGTGTTTGTGCCAGCTGAATCCAAACATTACCAGTAGCATCCAGTTGTCTTTTGGGTAATATTGCCAGTGTTTCAGAAAATAATGACTTAAAAAAATGATCATGACAAATGCTGAATTATGGGTCAATACAGCAAGCATCATTTGTCCCTTTTCAGTCTTAGCTTTTTGTCGCCTGGTTGACTGATGATCTTCCATTTGACCTCCGGGGTGTCTTCAGGAGCTGCTTTAATGTGGCAGTGATGTATCCATGGTGTCTCCTCTGTGACCTTTACGGCAGATGGTGTCATCAAGATCACTTGGAAAGGCCCTTCCCAATGTGGCTCCAAAGCCTTAGATGAATGTCTCTTTACCAGTATCAGATCTCCAGGCTGAAATTTATGACAGATAACCTCAGGTTGAGGGGCCAGCCTGGCCTCCTGAACTCGATTCCACAGCTCCTGTTTAATTACCTGGAGGGCTTTTAAAGAATTCAACAAAGTATGATTTTCACATTTTAATACATTTTTCAAATTTACCCTAGGCAGTAAAGGAAGTTGGTCTCCTGAAAAATGATTTCATAAGGAGTTAACTTTTTTTATATAAGGCATGCACCTAGCCCACAAGAGGGCCAGTGGGAGGAGGTCTGGCCAGCTTTCTCCAGTTTTTAAAATAAACTTAATTAATGTTTTTTTAAGGTACAGTTCATTCTTTGCACTTGTCCTGAACTTTGTGGCCAATAGGCACAATGAAATTTCCAATCAATGTTGAGGGCCTTGGCCACCAATTGGGATACCTTGGCCGTGAAGGCTGGGCCATTGTTGGACCCCAGAGTGTGGGGGAGGCCAAATCGGGGGATGAGCTCCTGTAATAATCTTTTATTAACTATTGTAGCTGTCTCTCCTTTAGTTGGGAAGGCTTTTACCCATCCAGAGTATCTACCCAAACCAACAGGTACTTATATCCGCGGCTGGGCTTGACTTCAGTAAAATCCAATTCCAAAATTTCCCTGGGATGCTCACCTTGGTGTTGGGTTCCCTTGCCTCTGAGCATTGCCTTGGCATTTACCTGGGCACATGTCTGGCATTGGGCACAAACATCTTGGACCATGGCAGCCAGCTTAGGGGTTAAGAACCTGGAACTTATCAATTGTCTGAGTTTTTTTCCTAGGTGAGTAAAGTGGTGTATCTGTTAAATTAGCTGTCTGTCAAGAGCCTGAGACAAGCAAACTCAGCCATTGGGATGACTCCACCATCATTTTTATCTTGTATAGCCCCTACCTGGGTGTATTGTTTTGTTTTTTTTTCTGATGAATAGTGTGGCATAGCTGGCAGCTCAGGAAAAGCTTTAAGGGGCAGGGTGGGGGCCGTCCCCACTGGTTTTCTGGCAGCCAATTTAGCAGCTAGATCAGCCTTTTGATTTCCTATGGCCTCCAGTGTGTCAGGCCTCTGATGACCCTTGCAGTGTATTATAGCCACTGATTTAGGCTTCCATACTGCTTCTAGCAGAGCTAAAATCTCATGTTTGTTTTTAATGTCTTGTCCTCCTGACGTAAGCAGGCCCCATTGTTTATATATCTCTCCATGAACATGTACAGTTATCGACTATCCGTGTAGATGTTGGCAACCTTCCCTTCACCCAGGTTTAAGGCCTGAGTAAGAGCCATCAGCTCTGCTCACTGGGCTGAAGTTTCAGATCCCAGAGCAGCAGCCCACCTTGTCACTCCCTGGCCATCCACCACCACTGCTCCTGCATACCTGACTCCTTGCTCAATGAAGCTGTTCCCATCCGTGAAGAACATCTCCTCAGGGTCTTTTAGGGGCACATCCTGCAGATCAGGTCTGGTTGCGGTTATGTCCTGGAGGGTCTCCTGGCAGTCATGTAGAGGGGTCATCAGGTCTGAGGCAGGCAACAGTGTCGCGGGGTTTAAGGTAGTGGCCTCTGTGAACTTGATCTGGGGCTGGTCAATCAGGAGCACCTGATATTGAGTCAGTCTGGCATTTGACATCCATCACTCAGAGCCTCCTTGCAACATGGAGGAGACTGCATGTGGCACACTGATCATGAGCCCCTGACCCAACCTTAGCTTGTCTGTCTACTTTATGAGGAGGGCTGTTGCCACGATGTCTCTGAGGCAAGGTGGCCAGCCAGAGGCCACAGGATCAAGTCTTTTGGATAAGTATGCCACAGGTCTTTTCCAAGGTCCTAAGGTTTGAGTAAGGACCCCTTTTGCCACTCCATTTTTCTCAGCCACAAACAATTGGAAAGGTTTTCCAATGTCTGGGAGGGCCAAAGCTGGTGCCTGAACAAGGGCTTGTTTCATGGTCTCAAACGCCCTCTGTTTGGTCTCTGCCCACACTAAGGGTGTGTTTCCTCTGGCTGTGGCTGGATATAGGGGCCTTTCGATCTCTGCAAATCCTATAATCCAGAGTCGGCAGTAACCAACAGTTCCCAAAAACTCTCACACCTGTTTCTTTGTGGTGGGTGTTGGGATCTGTAATATAGCTTGTTTCCATCTCTGAGACAGTCGTCGGATGTCTTTGTCAATCTCATACCCAAGGTAAGTGATCCAGGAGGCACAGATCTGGGCCTTTTTGGCTGACACTCTATATCCCAATTTTTGTAACAATCCCAACAAGTCCTTAGTACCTGCCATACAGGTGTCCTGGTCATCAGCCACTACTAGGAGGTCATCTACATACTGGAGAAGGGTCACTTTGGGATGAGATGCTCTGAACAGAGCCAAGTCTTTATTTAGAGCCTCATCAAACAGGGTGGGAGCATTTTTGAACCCTTGTGGCAATCTCATCAGGGTCAGCTGTCCCCAGTACCCTCCTTTGGGATCCACCCATTCGAAGGCAAAAAGGGGCTGACTCACCTTGGCCAATGGCAGACTGAAGAAGGCATCTTTGAGGTCCAGCACAGTGTAGACTTGTCACTGAGGGGGCAGGAGGCTCAGCAGGGTATAGGGATTTGGCACAATGGGGTGTACAGTCTAAGTTCTTTTGTTTACCTCTCAGAGCTCTTGGACAGGCCTGTAGTCGGAAGTACTGGGCTTTTGGACAGGCAGGAGTGGGATGTTCCAAGGTGATTGACACAGCTTTAAGATTCCAGCATCTAGGAGTCAGTTGATGTGTGTCCAAATCTTTTTTCTTGCCTCCTTTCTGATAGGATACTGCCGGACAGAAACAGGCTGGGCATTGGACTTTAGATTTACCACTATTGGAACTTGATGGCCAGCTAATGCAGGGGGATTAGTCTCAGCCCACACAAGTGGAAACTCCATTTGTAGGTTTCCAATCAGCCCAGCTAACTTGTCCTCTGGCTGCGAGAGCATCAGGTATTTGGAGGCCAATGGGCAAGTCACCATAACTTTGACAGTCCCCTGTGGGATGCCTAGTTTTAAGTCTGCCTTTTCCTCTGTAAAGGTAATTGTTGCACCAAATTTCCTTAGCAGGTCCCTGCCAAGCAAGGAGTATGGACACTCTGGAATCACCAGAAAGGAGTGGGTCACTTGCCTGTGACCCAAGTCTACCATTCATGCAGTTGTCCATTTATAACCTTGAGCTCCCTTGCCGGTAGCCCCCTGTACCAAAGTCTCTCATGTTGTCAATTTTCCCAAAGGTTTAGTCAGTATCGAATGAGCCGCCCCAGTATCTACCAGGAAATTAGTCAGTGTGCCCCCGATTTTTAATTTTATCATGGGCTCACAGGGGCTCAGTTTGAATGAGCCCTGACTTTCCTATTTCATATCGTCAAAGGTCAGGACTTCCTGTGTCTTTTTCTGGTCCTGTCCCTATTTTTTTTTTTTCTTGAGGGGACACTCATTTTTCCAATGTCCAGTCTGTTTGCAATAGGCACATTGGTCCCTTCCAAGCTTAGGCCATGGGGGTCTCTCTGGCTTAGGTCTCCCGGTCTGCTTACTTATGTCATTGTGGGTGGCAATAGTAACTTTTTCTAGCTGCTTGGCAATTGTCTCTTCCGGGGAATCCTGGTTCTCAAAAACCTTTTGTGCTATACTCAGGAGCCCAGACCTGTTTTTTCCCTCAAACTCTTCCAATCTCTGAAGTTTTTTTTCTAATATCTGGGGCCGACTGTGACACAAAAGCCAGATTTATCATGGCTGCGTTTTCTGGAGCATCAGGATTAATGGGTGTATAGACCCAACACGTCTCTAGGAGGTGTTCCAGGAAAGCCACGGGGACTCTGTCTTATTCTGTTTTACCTCACTTACCTTAGTCAGATTAGTTGGCTTCCTAGCCACTTGGCAGAGTCCCTGCAAAAGGTGCTGGCGGTAACTGGCCAGGTCTCTCCTACCTGCATTGGTGTTGGGGTCCCAATCCGGTCATTGGGTTGGCACTTCAGCCTCTGCTCTCTGCAGATAAGCTGGAGTACCGGGGCCAGGATCGAGGTTGGGACCTAGGGCTGCCTTGATGGCCTCCTGAAAAATTTGGTCCCATTCCTCCGTGTTGAAGAGGGTCTGGAGAAGTTGTTGACAGTCATCCCAGGTGGGGTGATGAGTATGGAAGACAGACTCCAGAAGATTAATTAAAGCCTGGAATTTTTCTGAAAAAGGAGCAACTTGATTTTTCCAATTATAAAGGTCACTAGTAGTGAAAGGAGCATAGACAAATCCTCCACCTGGTTCAATCTGTTTCAAAGGAAGGACAGAGGACGTTACCTGGCTGGTTGCCCCTTGAGACTCATAGGACTGTCCTGACTGGGTATGAGGAGGGGATAGGGAGTCAGGTGGCACAGAGGGGACAGAGGAATCACAGGGGGCAGAATCAGAGGGAGAGTTGGGGTCTTTTTTAGGCCCTTCCCCATGAGCCTGATAAGGGGCAGACGAGACCGGAAGTCATCCTCATCCCACGGGGCCTGAAAACCCTTGCACTTTGGGAGGGGCATGGTGACAAGAACTACTGATTGTCCTCATCTGTTGTGAATCTTATCTCCCACAAACCTCCTGTGTCTCAATCCTGGGCAATCAAGGGAGGGAGGAGGGTCCTCTATGAGGTCCATCCACACATCAATATAGGGAAACTGGTTGGGACGACGAGACCCTCCCTTTTCTGTGACCCTGTTCCAAACCTGTTGAGTAGTCTGAATATCAAAACTTCCCACACTCAGCCATTCCATCCCAAATGATGGCCACTCTAGTTGACATAGGGCCCGGAGTCTTCCCTTTGAGAATTTGATGCTGTATTCATCTGCTTTCTGTGGGGTATAAATTTGTGAGAAATGTTGTAAAACACACTTAAGGGGGTTGATGGGGTAGACAATCCAGATCCCATGGCTCACTGTAGAACAAAACTGAAAGCAAAAGGCACACAGAGCAAGCTGACAGACAACAGACAACAGATACACAGAAATTTAGACAAACTATACCCACAAATATTTAGACAGACAAACCAGGCCCCGGGGTAAACTGACCAGAAGGCTTCCCATCATCATGATGAACCCCTGGGCAGGGGAATTACTGTCGCTCCGACTTCCCTTTTGCCCTCTTTTGGATCCACTGACTGACGACTGAGAATCATAAGATTCTTACCTGACCGCCTGAGGTTTTCCAGATAAACTCCTCTCAGCATGGCTGGAATGACCTGAATCCTCCGCTTGAGACCCGAGCCCCCAGGGCCCTGATCAAATGGTCAAGGTGACCTCCCAAGGCCTCTCTCAGGCCGGACCGGCCTAAGACAGGGGCTGTCCACTGGACAGAAGTCACTGAGTGATGGTGAGCTCGCTGAGACCTCCAAGAATGTTGTGCCAAGCGAGCCGATAAATCACCAAACACTGGGACCAATGGCAAAGTTAAACTGAAAGGAGTTTATTCACGTGGGTGGACTCCACTCCCTAAGCGAAGTGAAGCCCTGAGTCCAGGAACAGCACAGTTTATATAGGGTGTTATAGCAGCATAGCTTTTATAGGTGTTATTTTAAGAAGAGAAATTCAAGGGTAGATTAACATGTTTTTGACTAGTTGCAAAAGTATTTTTCACAACTCAGCTATCTTGTTGTCTTGTCAGGTTGGGGCAATTTACAGTAAAGGGAGGCACCAGGCACTATCTCTTTCTGAGAATCGATGAAGCAAGTTTACAGAAGCAGAACAAGCAGTTACAAAAACATCTATTTTATAAGGGGAGGGGCATGAGGGGGCGTTTCTTGGGTTTATCCTGGTCTCACACCTAGGTCTCATGCATCCTGGGTAAGTACCCTACCCCTGAGTTACATCCCCAGCTGTTTTTATTTTATTTTGAAACAGAGCCTCACTAAGTTTCCCAAGCTGGAGAAGCCTTGTTTTTGGTGATTTTTGTCTATTTGGTTTTTTGAGACAGAGTTTTGCTACCATAGTCCATTCTGGCCTTAAATTCATGACTCTCCTGCCTCAGCCTCCTGAGTGCCAGAGTTACAGGCATACACCACCATGCTTGGGCTTAGTACATATTTTTAGATGACAATATGTGCTACAGAGTGGAAAGTTTCCCTTCTGACCAAGACAGGACCACTGCTACTGATCTCTAATTGATCCTCCAAGAGAGCAACTGTGTGTGTGTGTGTGTGTGTGTGTGTGTGTGTGTGCACGTGCGCGCAGTTTTCCACTTTCGTCTCCGAAGATGGTAACCTCTTGTTACACTGTTCTGTCCCTTTTCTGCCAACCACTTCCCAGGCCATACTTCCTACAGTGTGGATAGGGCTGCCTTGGGCTGTTGACAGGTTTTCCCAAGCTCCTTTCCCTGTTCAATCCTGGGACAGCAGTTAAAATGCTGTCCACTCAGCCCATTAATATAGTCACTCAGCCACCACTCAGAGCGTGACTTATGTACTGTGCACAGAGCCAGGCTCTGGGGGACAGAGGCTTTGGCCTAGAGCCATAGATGAGTCAAGGAAGCCAACTGTAGGGATCATATGGAATATGAAGGGTCCCAGAGGATGTTCCTGCTTTCTGGAGGAGGTGTCATCTCAGTTTTGGCCCAAAGGACAAGGAGGAATTAGTTGGGCCCAGAGATGGCAGGAGGGGATGTGTGGGGCTTTTGTAATACAGGTGGGGCCTCTAGGCTGTAGGATGAAAGACAGCAGGTGGCAGGCTTGGGGACTGTGGGCAAGGAAAGGTTGCAGACTTTGTCCTGAGGCTGTGGGAAACTGCTAGAGGGTTTCCAGTAGAGGGCGGCCCCATCAGATCTTCTCAGAGCCCACCGTGGCTGTGAGTGGAGGACAGATTGTAGGGGTGAGGGTGGAGGTAGCTCCATGAGGGAGGCATCCACCAGGGCACCCACTGTATCTGCTGAGGAGTAGTAGTGGCCGGTGGCAGAGCGAGAGGTGGGAGAAGGAGAAGGAGGGGCTGAGGGGCCACTCAGGTTTCTGCCCTGGCCAAGGATGGCTGTGATGCCCTTGGTGGAGTTGGGCAGGTTGAGAAGGAGCCACGTGGGCGGGAGGGCGAGCTCTGGGATGGACGTGATGGTGGACATCAGGCAGGGACCTCCAGGAGGCAGGGGAATGAAGGGTCTTATGACCCAGAGGGCCCTGCAGGCAGTGGGCAGTGTGGAGTGAGCCATAGGAGCAATGAGTGGAGGAAGAAGCGTCTCAGGGTCCCCATGCCTCAAGCTTATCTGGCCCCCTCCTCTAGCATGAAGTGTGTCTGCCTCCAGCCTCACTGACTGCCATTTGTCCTCTGTGACCTTTCTCCAGCAGACCTCCCAAGTGTCACGCCCTTTCACACCTCCCTGCTCGGTGCCCACTGGCGAGCCCTAGGGCTCTCACCCTCCCACCCTCCACTTGGAGGAATCCAGGAGCTCCCCAGCCCAGCCTCTCCAAGGTCTCATAAAGAGCTGCCAAATGACTGTGCAGTCAGCCTCCTACTGTGTGACAGTAAAAGGCCAGGGAGTTGAGCATCACACTCCTGAGCAAGTATTAAGCAGAGGGGAAGGGGCACTTATGCACCAGACACCTGGCAAAGGTTATGGGTTTGCCCTTCAGTCTTTACCATGGTCCCGGGAGGTGGATGTTAGCCAGCCCCTTTTACAGATGAGCAAACTGAGGCTTGCCAAAGGGGCAGTGGTGGTGGCTGACTCCTAGTCTGGTGCTGGTTCTCCCTCGCCCCCAAGAGTCTTCCTGGTTCCCACAGCTACCACGCCTGACCCAGTTGTTCAGCCCAGTAGTATTGTTTGTGGTGAATGCCTTATTGCTTCCATTTCCACTGACCAGCTCCCTTTTCACCTGCTATCTTTGGCACTTTACAACCTCAGACCAGCTGTGGAGGGCAGGTGAGTGTGGTACAGGGAGCCCCTTGAAGCCTCGCTGGCTCGTTGGCTTGACGCATCACCCCTCTAGCCTCCTGCTCTCCCCAACCCCTTCTCCTCCTGCCTGGGCTCCTGGCACAGTGAAGCTCAGCTGTGTTTGGCTTCGGGCTGCTGGGACGAAGAGGCTCAGTGGGGAAGGAGAGCCCTGGGCACAGAGAAGCACGTGGCTGGGGCCTGGGTCTCTGCACCCAGCCCAGGGCCACTTTGCACAGCCCCCAGCCTGGGTGGGCATTTCCCCTGGCATGTGGTGCTGCAGCCACACTTTCCCTGCATGGCCACAACAGGCTGAGGCTGCTGGGGCATGGTGGTGGCTCTGGTGTCATGCTCTGAGCCCTGGGTGGGTGGCTGGGGCAGTGGGGCTTTCACCTGCCCTGTCTGGACACATCTGTCTTCAGCTTCTCCTGGCCTCCACTGTCCTTACATCTGTCATCAATTACAGGCTGACCTTTTCAAGCTTGGGATGCTAGCAAGGATGGAGGAGAGACTCCTGAGTGCCTCTCCTGTCGCCAAGGCAGGGTTCCAGGCTATGCTGTCCTTATGGCAGGGCTCTGGGCTCACAGCAGGAAGTCTTGTCCGTGGGTGGCCAATCTGTGCATTGGAGAGGAACCCTGTAGAGAAAGCGCTCTGAGGCCTGTAAGCCACCCAGGGAGCTGGAGGTGCTTGGTCCCTCAGAGCCAGAGCCCCCCTCCGCCCTGGAGCAGTGCTGCAGGGGACAGGATCCGCAGCCACACATCCCACCCCTTTCAACTCTTTATGGCTTGGTTTCAGTTTCCTGCTTCCTCACCAACCTGCTATCCCCTCTGGACATGGTCTAATTGATGGATTTCATTCTAAAATATGGGATACGGGGCTTGGGAGCAAAGATAATATTTGAGGTATACCCACTGTGCTCTGTGAATTTAAAAATATACATTTCCTTCCGTCTTCATAAACACTTATAGTGTGCCCATCTTATAGAGGAAGGTAAGGAAATTGAAGCTCCCAGACCCTCCTTTCCTTTCTTCCTTCCTTCCTTCATCGTCACTGAGCACCTACTCAGACTCACGTCCTCACCTAAGCCAGCCCTCCCCAGCTCCCACCCGGACCCCAAAGGGCCCCAAAGCCAGTGCTCTTCCTTCAGAGAGGAGCAGAGCAGAGCCTCCCATGTGGGAGAGAATGAGTTTGTCCTCCTTTGTTGCCTGCAGACATACACAGGCTCCATCCTGGTGGCAGTGAACCCCTACCAGCTGCTCTCCATCTACTCCCCAGAGCATATCCGCCAGTATACCAACAAGAAGATTGGGGAGATGCCCCCCCACATCTTTGCCATCGCCGACAACTGCTACTTCAACATGAAACGCAACAGCAGAGACCAGTGCTGTATCATCAGGTGGGCGGCCCAGTGCCAGCACGGAGCTCTAGGCCCAGCCTCTTGAGCTGCAGCTCCTTGCTCTGCTAGTGTCACTAGGACTGACTCCACTGTTGGAAACACCAGGAAGCTCTACAGGACCAAGATATGCACTTTGTCACAATGCAGAATCACCTCCCCTCCTCGAGGTCTTATATCCCTGTTAGTGCTGCCAAAGGTCATGTGAGCATTGAAGCCCAACTGATTCTCTTACGGCTCCTGTTAAATCACGGCCAGGATCAAATGAAATCTCAGCTTCTATTTTCTCTTGGCCAGAGGGTAAAAGGCCAAAGCACTGATTGAGCATCTAATATGTACCTGTTCCAGGGCAAGTATGGATAAAGGAGTGTCTTAGTTACTTTTCTCGTTGCTGAGACAAAATACCTGACACCCCAAGTTAAAGTAGGAAGGGTTTATTTGGCTCACAGTTTGTAGAGGTTTCAGTCTATAGTTGGCTGGCTCCAAGGCAGGCTGGCATGGCAGAGGGGCATCACAAAGCAGGCAGGAGGCAGCAGAGCAGTAGCAGCAAGCAACAAGCAGGAACCACAGCAGCCCTCTCTCTGTCCCTTTTATTCTATCCAGGCTACACTCCCTTATGTCGAGTAGCACTCACACCTAGTGGGCCATCCCATTACCAGAACTGTGCCAAACCAATCAATGGACTAATTTAATAATCACACACCCTTAATCTCAGCAGTACACATTCTAGATCCAGCCGCCTGTAAAACCCCCCACCTAGGACTACATGAGGCTTGGGGAGGGACACATCTAGACGCCAGCCATAACAAGGGTGTCTAAATGAAATGACAGGGCTCTCTCCTAGCCCTGGAGGGTGCAGGTAGTCAGCCAGGATTGCTGGGAGGGGAGGGAGGGCTGGAGTGGCAGCCTCAGGATGTGGCCACCTGAGCTGAGCACACTCCTGCCTCTCCTCACTTCGAAGTGGAGAGTCTGGAGCAGGGAAGACCGAGAGCACGAAGCTGATTCTGCAGTTTCTGGCAGCCATCAGTGGGCAGCACTCATGGATTGAGCAGCAGGTCCTGGAGGCCACCCCCATCCTGGAAGGTAGTGCCAGGGCTCTGAGGGAGGCTGGGATGGGCTGGCCTTGCCATGACCTCTCTCCACCCCACAGCGTTTGGAAATGCCAAAACCATCCGAAACGACAACTCAAGCCGCTTCGGGAAGTACATCGACATCCACTTCAATAAACGGGGTGCCATCGAGGGTGCCAAGATCGAGCAGTACCTGCTGGAGAAGTCACGAGTCTGTCGCCAGGTGGGTCCAAGCCTCAGGGTACAGGATCAGACTTGGTTCCTTCCCTGGAGTAGACCCAGCCTCAGGTGGGTGCGTGTCCCCATCCACATTGCCCTGTGTGCTTTTTCTCTGCTGCCCCTGCTCGCCTGAGTGCCTGATGTCCCCTATGGATCCATCATCTGCCTGGGCTTCTGCTCTTGCCCCAACTGCTGTGCCCACTCTCAGGCCCCGGATGAGCGGAATTATCATGTGTTCTACTGCATGCTGGAGGGCATGAGCAAGGAGCAGAAGAAGAAGCTGGGCCTGGGCCAGGCCACTGACTACAACTATTTGGCCATGGTGAGGCTCAGGGGACAACCTGGGAAGGGGACACCTATCCCAGAAAGGTAGAGTAGATGCAGGCCACTCCCACATGACCCCAGCCCTGCTGCAGTCCTGGCAGGTGGGAACTTCCCTGGGGGTCTTCTTTCCCCCTCCCACCCCAGCCCACCTGGGCTTGTCCATTTCATGCTGCTTGAGCACAGCCATCTAGACAAATTCCCACAACAGACACACATGTCTTCCTAACTGAAGACATCCGACACAGGGTCACACGGACATGCCCGCTCATGTATCCATGCACACACACTTGCCCACTCACACAAGCCATGTGTTTAGTCTTTGAGGCCTCAAAGACTGGGACCTCTGCCTGGCCTCCCATGATCCTAGGGAGCTGGCTGCTGAGGTCTCAGCCCTGAGGGCTGCTGCTGTCTGGACACCAAGGAGAAGTGAGCCCCAGGACCATCTCTGCCACCAGTCCTGGGGCTGTGCATACAGCAGACTGGCTTGGGGAGCACCACTTCTGCATTCCTGGGGCAAGCCCAGCAGGGCCCAAGGTTGCAACTGTGGGCTAAGGCACCCGAGGGGTGTGTTGAGGGTGTGACACACCTTCCCAGACACTTCCACAGTGGGCCATCACACTTGGACACACATGCACAGCATGGAGCACCCACTTGTCTGCAGTCTCCACCCCTGTCCACACCAAGCTGCACCGGTGAGGGTTAAGGCCCTGAGGGTGGGCGTCTCCAAGACATGCAGAAGGCATTGTGGGGCCTTGAGACTGTGACTGGCAGGTGGCTGAACAGACTAGGCCTGGGATCAGTGCTCCTCTCACTCATGGGAAGAAGGGGCAACCGGGACTCCAAGACAGGGAGCTCTTGAGCTCTTGAGAAGCCCAGGCAGAAGCTCTCTAGACTTTCTGGAGAAGCCTGCTCATGCCAAGGGCCCAGGACCTGGAGCCTGGCCTGGCAGAAAGGCCCCTTCAGCTCTGGCACTGCCTCTCTGGGATGTCCATGACCTTGCTGACCCCACTTCCTACTCCCCTGCCTGTCCCAGGGCAACTGTACAACCTGTGAGGGCCGAGTGGACAGCCAGGAGTATGCCAACATCCGCTCTGCCATGAAGGTGCTCATGTTCACCGACACAGAGAACTGGGAGATCTCGAAGCTCCTGGCCGCCATCCTGCACCTGGGCAACCTGCAGTACGAGGGTGAGGCTGCGCAGTGTCCTGTCTGCATCAGCGGCAGTGCCACACCTAGTGCCCATGGGGTATTGGCAGTGCAGCTTCTGCCCAGCATGTGCCCTCACTGGGGAGAATTCCCCTGCAGGTAGACTTGAAGAGGTCTGCTAGCTTGACATCAGCCTCAGGCGGTGCTGCTGTGTGGAAGTTCAGAGAGGTGGACAGATGAGGTGCCCTGTGAGTTGAGTGTGGCTGTTTAAGACCCCTTCCACATTGGTTTCTTCTTTAGGTTAGATGTCTTAGAGAAAGGATAAATCTTTGAGCTAATTCATACTAAGGTGTGAGTGACCCAATAGCCATCTTCTGAAAGGGAGAAGGCCAGGGAAGGGACCTGCTCACTTCTCTGACATCCTGGCTGTCACGACCCACCAGGATGGGAGGTGGTCCTGCGGCAGGTCCCATTCTTTTCTTTCTCTGTTTCCCAGCATGGGTCCTGGGCAGAGTGGGAGCTCTGGGAAGTGCAGTCAGTGATCTCAGCAGTAAGGCAGTCAGTCTAGTGAGTCTAGAAAGACTAAGAGAAAGGGTACATCAAACATAGGGGAAAGCTTCTCCAAAAATCCCAAGGCCCAAGACAGCAGGGCACATTCAAGGAGGACAAGCTCCCAAAGCCTATCTCAAAGGAGCCAGGACTGCCACTCAGAGCTCTGAAGTGGAGGCTGCACAGGTGAGGGTTAGGGTCACTTGGATGCCAGGAATGGTGCTGGCACACAGGGTCCTTACCCTCATGGTGCCTGCGTCAACATTAACCAGACATATACTGACCCAGAGGAGCATTTAATCATGGTACTGATGCCCTCAGTGATGGGACAGGTCCACAAGAGTGAGTGTGGCAACCTAGTCCTCCTAGGCCTGTCCCCATGCCCCTCTGCCAGCCTTCCCTGCCCTGACACTGCACCCCTTGCTGCTGGCAGCGCGGACATTTGAGAACTTGGATGCCTGTGAGGTCCTCTTCTCTCCGTCGCTGGCTACTGCTGCATCCCTGCTCGAGGTCAGTGCCTGCTTTCTCTCCCCACCTCTGCCTCTGTCCCTGTGAAGATGGTGCTGACTTCCAGCTCGGTGGGACTGGCTGGCATGTGGGAACTGGGTTTCTGGGAGCCTCTGGCTGGGAGAGTCATGTTCAACGTCAAGGACCAGCTGTACGCAGGCTCTGTGCTGTGCTCAGGCTCTGCATCCTCACTCGCTTGTCCTGACCTGGCTGCCCGAGATGGCGTGGGCCAGGAGGCTTGGGCCAGGGCCCTGTGACACTCTGGGTTGTGTGTCCCTGGCTGAGTCATTCCTACCCTCTTAGCCCCACTCCACATGTGTGGGTAAAGAGCCTAGACCACACATTGTGTATCAAGTATGTGGAATCTGCCTCTCAGTCACTCAGCAAGCACTAGACTCTAGCCTGATTGGAAAACAGAGGTGAATAAAGTCAGTCAAGGTGGGCCCTAGAAGGGCAGGTAATAACTAGAGGAGGTGAGGAGGCTTGTCTGGGAGAAGAATTCTTCCAGGAAGCATCAGATGGCTTCTGGTGGTTGGGAGGGTTGGCTGTGGCCCTAAGGAAGGGGATTCTGGGCCGAGGGTATAGTCTGAGCCAGGCCAGGTTGGAAAGGGAGGGAGTTCAGGGTGTCAGGGTGAGTACTGGGTGTGTCTGCACCAGGTGAACCCCCCAGACCTGATGAGCTGCCTGACCAGCCGCACCCTCATCACCCGTGGGGAGACGGTGTCCACCCCACTCAGCAGGGAGCAGGCGCTGGATGTACGAGATGCCTTCGTCAAGGTGGGCTGCTGTGGAGGGGCTGCCTCTCTCTGTCCCTCGAGAGGCTGGGTTGCTGACGCACAGCAGTGAGGGGTCCTTAATGTCAGGCCCTGCCCTCAGGTCCTTGACTCTGGGCCTTCTCTGATCCACTTCTCTGCAGAAGACACAGAGGGGGCTGGGTTAGGTGGCAGGGCCTCCAGTCCTCCCTGTTTCTGCAGTCACACAGTTGCCACTCCCTGAGCCCTCAACCCATGCCAGGCCTGTGTTGGGCTCTGGAACCTTTGAGCTATTCAGAACAGATGGGGAGACAAGACACTGAGCCAGAAGCCCCAAGATTGCTCCTTCCCAGCCTGCAGGGCTGGGGCAAGGGCTCAGAGGAGCTGCTACCCGGGCAGGGCTTTGACAAGGAGCAGGAGCCGTTCAGGCAGGAGAGGGTGCTCGGGAGGCCAGAACAGCTCAGTGTTCCATGGCTAGGCTAGAGCGAGGCCACAGTGGGTCCTCATGGGACAGTGTGGCTGACATGGCTGCCTTTCAGGGAATCTATGGGCGTCTCTTCGTGTGGATTGTGGAGAAGATCAATGCAGCAATTTACAAGCCTCCCTCACAGGAAGTGAACTCCCGCCGGTCCATCGGCCTCCTTGATATCTTTGGGTTTGAGAACTTTGCTGTGAACAGGTACCACGTGGGGCTCTGCTCAGTGGGAAACGTCATGTCTCTACCTTTAAGCCACACTGAGCTTGCTCCTTGCACACAATTCCAAACTGCTGGGAATTTTGACTTCAGTTACCCTGGGGGCCTCTCTGCCTTCTTTTCTCTTCCTCTCCCTCTCTCTCTCCCCTCCGCAGGGTCAGATGAGGCCACCAGGTGGTAGAGGAAGGCCCTTACCCTGTCTCAGACATTTGGGAGGCAGCCTCTGGTGTCCAGGCCCCATGGTCATTGCTGACCTGCCCAGTGTCTCAGCTACAGGTTGCCTTGAGGTGTGCAAGGCCTGAGCCAAGCTGAGCATCAGGGTCTTAGCCACCCTGAGCACCTGTACTCTTGGGGGCCGTGTGAGGGACTGAGGGACAAAGCAGGCACAGGTGAATCCTGGGGCTGGAGGCAGCCAGCCCTGCCCCACTTCCCAGTTGTGTGACCCCTGGTGAGTCCCTTCAATTCCTGTAATGCTCAGATGTCACAGAGCTCCCTGTCCCTTATCAAATAACCCACACCCCATCCATCCCCCTCAAACACACCCCATTTAGGTGGGTCATCAGTCAGGCTCTGCTGACCCAATCCTGCCACCCCCTTCCTTCCCACCTTTCAACAACACTTTTGCTATCTCTTTACTACCCCCCTCCTGTTCTCATAGGTTCCCCGTGGGGTCTGGTGATGCAGGGAAAGAGGCCTGATCCCTGGCTTCCAGCCTCGCCTCTCCCCAGACTCTCTGAGTAAGCTCAGGGAAGTCTTTGGCCTTTGCTGGGCCCTGGTATCTTCTTCTGTAGGTGGAGGGTTGGGGTTGAGCGGCTCACCCCTCCTGGAGGACTGGAGGGTCCACAATGGGGGTGACTTACCGAGGGTCATGCTGCAGACAGAGGCAGAGCTGGGCACAGCGCAGGGTGGGCCTGAGCAGCATCCCATGCAGTTCCTGCACCCCTGCAGCTTTGAGCAGCTCTGCATCAACTTCGCCAATGAGCACCTGCAGCAGTTCTTCGTGCGACATGTGTTCAAGCTGGAGCAGGAGGAGTATGACCTGGAGAGCATCGACTGGCTGCACATCGAGTTTACAGACAACCAGGACGCCCTGGACATGATCGCCAACAAGCCCATGAACATCATCTCCCTCATCGACGAGGAGAGCAAGTTCCCCAAGGTGGGATCCCACCACTGTGGCTGCCTCCCACTGCTTGGGGAGTGGACAGGTCCCTTCTCTGAGCCTCACTTTCCTCATCTGCAAAATGAGACTAATGACACCAGCCTCACAGGGTGCCTCTGGACCAATTTCAGGGCAGTCACCTGACAAATGGGAATCAGCTGTACTTTGCTCGGTCCCAGATCAAATAATGAAGGTCTAAGCACACAGTTGGTGCAGAATAGGTGCTCAAGACAGAGCACATGTCTTGGAGTGGGGAAGTGAGGGTTGCTGCCAGGATTTGAATCATAGGGAATCAATGTTAAGACAGGAATGTGTTTTCAAGATTGTGTGGTTCCAATTTACTCACTTAACCATGTAGGGCAGTGACAGCCCAGAGAGCTCCTGTGTGGGTATAAAGTCATAAGAGGGTGCAAAGACATGGGTTGAAAAGGCAGCAGGGTCTGGGAGGGGGGCAGCTCGCCAGTGGCCCCTCTGCTCCCACAGGGCACTGACACCACTATGTTGCATAAGCTCAACTCCCAGCACAAACTCAACGCCAACTATGTGCCTCCCAAGAACAACCATGAGACTCAGTTTGGCATCAACCACTTTGCAGGTGTCGTCTACTATGAGACCCAAGGTACGAGAGGCTGTCTGTCTGTCTGTCTGTCTCTGCCTGTGCCTGACTTTCCCCACACCTATTCCAGGAGAAAGATCTCCAGGTCCCTTTCAGCACAGAGAGGAAGAGAAGGGACACAGGAAATATGGTGCTCAGTATTGTTTTTCCAAAGATTTAAAAAAATATACATTTAAAACTTGTGGTAAAGTATATATATAATATAAAATTTACCATTTTAACCATGTTAAGTGTATAATTCAGTGGCATTAAGTACATTTACAAGGCTGTACAGGGGAGGCTTCAGTCTTGGAGGGGCAGAGCTGGTGAGGTGTGACCACTCTTTGCCACTGCCCAGGCTTCCTGGAGAAGAACCGGGACACCCTGCATGGGGACATCATCCAGCTGGTCCACTCCTCCCGGAACAAGTTTATTAAGCAGATCTTCCAGGCCGATGTCGCCATGGTAAGGCTGCTGGGGATTCTGCTGGGCGGGAGGGGTCCCCCACAAGCCAGGCCTGCATCAGGCCCTCCCTTTTCTAACAGTTTCACCTGGGCCTCTGGGCTGCAGAGCAGGGATGATGGGGCTTTGCTGCAATTCCAGGACAGGCTGGAGAGGCCTCTGAGATACTCCCCTCTGGTCCTCTTGTGCCAATTTTGAGGTGTGGCTGGGGCACAAGGCCTAGAGAAGAGCCACATGAGAGGTCACAGAGCTGAGCCTGGTCAGGACTCATTATACCCCTGGGCCTCCAGCAGTTAACAGGAATGAAAGGGTTCAGCCTCAAGCATACAAGATGCATATGGCACACAGTCATTGGCACAAGGGGTGAGTGCCACCCTGGACCCACGTAGATGGCAGAAGACTGCCTCTCCTCCCCAGGCCCCAGCTGGCATCTGGTGGACTTTCCTTCTGCAGGGTTGTTTACCCTTTTTAAATTTTTATTTTTACTTTTTGCAGTGCTGGAGATCAAACCCAGGGCCTCACACATGCTCAGCAGGTGCATACCGCTGACCCACTTACCTAGCCTGCCTTTTTATGTCATATTTTCTTCCTGCCCCATGGCTCCCTGGAGGTGCCATGAGAAGGTTTTGGGGAGGGCAGAGCCCCCATCCCTCAGGCACTATGCTGGTGCCTAAGCTACCTCAGGGCTGCCCCCGCCTCGGTCGCAGAGTTGCCAGGACCCCAGTTTTCATCCAAGATCTGCCTCTCTCCAGGATAGATTTCCCCACTTTCTGACCCTCTCATCCTCAGCCCTTGCCTCCCCGTCTTACCTGCCTGTGGTTCCCCTTGTAGTTTCTCTGTGGTTATTCATCCGGCAGTCTCCGCCAGGCCGCGGCTTCTGCAAAGGTAAAAGGCCCAGCCTGGGGCCTAGTGGGAGAGGCCTGGGCCCCATGGGTAAAGGGCTGGGCTTTTGCTACTTTTTTGGAGTGTGGTTTTTTTGGATTTTTTTGTTTTTGTTTTTTTTGGTGAAGTGGTTTTTGTTGTGATTTTTGGTTTTGGATTTTTGCTGTTGCTGTTGTGTGTGATACAGGTATCTCTGTTTCTGAAAGAGAGAAACTGAATCCTGAGAGGGGCAAGACTTGCTCAGGTGCGCTGTGAACCATGGGCAGAGCTGGGAATTGAATCCGGGTCTCTTAACCCCTTTGCCCCACTCCCCTGAGTCTCTTGCTCCTCCCACCACCCTTGGTGACTTGGTCAGGTCCTCTGTGAAGAGGAGGCACATGCAGTCTTTCCTGCATTTTGCAGATGAGGGACTGAGATCAGAGAAGGGATGTGATTCACCCCAATCACACCATGCTGGGACCAGGAGCCACCACTGCTTGGGCATTCCAACCGCTGCTTTCAGGTCATGGCTCCCAAGAGCTTCAGGTCCTAAAGGTGCCCCATGCCCTTAGCAAGAGCACGACGCTGCCTCCCTTTCTCCACCTCGGTTTCCTCTCTGTCCAATGCTGACATCCCCTACAATTGGCCTGATGCTGAGCCCCTCTTCCCCCTGCTGCCAGCCCCTCACAGAGCTCTGGAGCATTTTACAGCACCCCAGCAGCAGAGCAGGGCCCCGGCATGCCAGGGCTAGGGAGCTTGTCTGGACAGTGGCTGTTCTCCTTGGCACAAGGATCACTCTTTCCTCCCCAACCCCAGCCCCCTCACAGCCAGGTAATGGGGTGCACATGAGCCCAGGGAGAGGGCTCCCAGACATTTGAAGCTCCAGCACCTGGGAAGGTTCTGGTCCAAAGCCCACATGTTTGGGGTCACTCTGGAGAGAGACAAGTGTGGCTGTGGGCTCTCACCCACTCTTTTCCTCTTGTTCTCCCCACCCTATCACTCTGCCACTGTCATTCCTCTAGTTTGGTTTTGGTTTTATACTCTGGATGAACCTCCTATTCTCCTACCCTGCCTCTCTCTCTCCTCTATCTCTCCAAAGCTCCCAGAAGCACCCAGAGCCTCTCCATGTGCTTCTGTTCTGAGGTTCCCTCCTCCCCGAGGGGAGCCCCCATCTTCCGAGGACCCATGTGGAGGTCCAGGCACAGGAGCTCGAGCTGTCCAGAATAGCCCTACTCCTGAGGGCAGAGAGTTAGGATAGTGACAGACTTGGTACCAGTCACTTCTCCTGGGCACCTCTTCTGAGCTAAGCACATTACCACCTCAAACACCTCACTCAACCCTGTGGGTAATTATAGCGGCACCCTAACTTTACAGCTAAGGAGCCTGGGGTACAGGGAGGCAAAAGGGCTTGCTCATAGTCACACAGCTTGTGATACAAGAATCAGAACGAAGCTCTGTCTGTCTCAGCTCAGTGCAAGGCCTTGTGACATACAAGTGAGGACCGAAGTGAGGTTTTCCAAGTCTTTGTGTCATCCTCTGCCAAATCTGTAAGTGTCACAACCAGGAAATAAAACTGCTTTGCAAGTGCTGGAAATATGATTACTCTTCTACAAGAGGATGGCCACCAGCTTGGTTAACTGTGAAACATTGAGTCATAGTTTATTCAATGGCTGTGCTGTTGTCACTGCTCTTGTCAGGATGAAAGCTCATGGCCCTTCCTGTCACCTCAGTGCCCATCTGTACAGGTCCCCAAACCAAAAGTTTTCATCCTCTGGCTGCTGCATTCACCTCCCTAGGGTTCCCAGGGCCACCACCTACCCACCCAGCCATCCCTGATGAAGGAACTAGGGAGCCCAGAAGAGGGCAGCTCTCTATGGCAGTGATTAATGTCTGACCCCAGTCATGTGTCCTGGGCCCTCTGTCCACAGGACACATCTGCCTACTCCTTATACAGATGGATTTCTGCCTGTCACTTGTCTGCCCCTTGTCAGACACCAACTCAGGTGTCTTCCCTTAGTTCCCCTCTATGGAGCCATTTAACATTGGATCAATCTTTACCCCATTCCCAAACATCTGCAGATTCTCCCAGAAAATAATAAATACCAGGAAGATTGGCCTTTTCCTCAAAGAAATAAAACTAAATCAGAAACCCAAATGACAAAGGATGTGTGGGCATACCCCACAGCATCATAGATCCCATTCATGTATTCATTCATTCATTCACTAATTCACTCATTCAATCTACAAGTATTTATTGAGTGCCCATTATATGTCTGACACTCTTCTAGGCCCTGGTGACTCAGTAGGTAACAAAATAGAAAAAAAAAATTCCCTGTCCTCATGAGAAATATTTGAGCAGAAGGAGGGAGCCGTTAGTAAGCCAATAAATAAGTAAAACATGCTGGATGGTGTAAGTGGTATAGAGAAAGAGCAGGGAGGCAGGAATGAGGTAGTAGGCCCTGCGACTCTGTGTAGGGGTCAGGGAGGGCCCCCTGAGAAGGCGGCAGGAGCCAGGGGCACCAGCCCTGTGCATCTGGAGGATGGGCTTTGCAGGATAGGGGATGCCACATGCAAAAGCCCTGAGGTGTTCTTTACACTGAGCCTGCCTCGTGTGACCTAGGCAGGGCCAGGAGCTGGAGTAGCTGGAAGGGGGTGAGTAGGTGCTGGAGAGCAGAGGTCTTGGGGGACTGTGTGTCCTCACAAGGTCTTTGCTTTCCTTGGAGTGAACTGGGAGTCACTGGAGAACTTTGAGTTGGGAGTCGGATTCTGGAGGGTTTGAGGGTGGAGCTGGGTAGGATCTGCTGACACACTGGATGTAACTAGAGGCATGGAGGGTGGTTCCTCAGTTTGGGGCCTGAACGGTTGGGAAGTGAGAAGTTTCTGTGAGTCCAGGGACAACACTAGGAACCAGTTTCAGGACACATCAGTTGAACGAAGTGTGGATTGGTACATGTATCAGCCCTGGTGTCACAGCAGTAAACAGGCTGACCAGCCTGTCCTCAAGGGGCTCACAGCCAGGCCTGGCAGAGGAGACAGACACAAAGCAGTATTTCCAGCTTAACTGAAACCAAAGAACAATGTGTGTGTGTGTGTGTGCATGTGTGTGTGTGTGTGTGTGTGTGTGTGTGTGTGTGTACGCGCTCTGTGTTGCCTGTGTACTCCCCGCAGGGCTCTAACAAAGGCTGGGTATAATCCAACCCAGACAGCCCCTCCTGCAGGAGGAAGGTCACCAGTGCTGCTACTGGATTGATTCACTGACAACCCAGGGGCCTTTTCCAAATAAAACTAAAACAGAAAACACTCATATTTCAGAATTGTGAATATTTGCTCTTTCTTGGTGGATTTCACTAGTCTGGGGCACACTGTCTAAATTTAGCATGGGCTAAACTCCTTTGTCCCCAAATACCTCACACATCTACAGCTGTACCCCTGACTTTTGATGCTACAGGATATAAGTGAACTTACAGCGGTAAAAAAATATAAAATCTTACAGTAATGATCAAATTCACTAATAAATTCTCACCCTAATGAAAATTGCCAGGAAATCAGAGGCAAGAAAATGTGTGGACTAGAACGCAGGTTCTACATTCAGTTTCTGTCAGCTGAAGTTTCCCATCCTATTTGTTCTTGGGCCCTCTCCCCTGAATTTCAAAATATTGTGGAAGAGAACCCTAACAGGGCAGAGAGGTGCAGGGGGGTGGCTGACTGATCGTCCAGGAGGAGCTTAAGAGGATTATCTAGGGGTGCTCTGGTTACTTCTTAGCCTGCTGCCGCCAGGCTAATCCAAGTAGTGAGGTCACAGGCTATCTGCCCACCCCCTCTCTTTCCTTCCCCCTCCCCACAGTTCCTAGAGGCCAGTGACCATCCCAAGCTGCTGTTTATTGAAACACACCCTGACCTCTGACCCTCTTCTCTGCCCTGTCTGGTGGAGACATGACATTATTTTCTACTTTGGTGACTGAAGCTCAGCACCATTTGATGATCTGCTCAAGGCTACACAGCTAGGAAGCAGTGGGCCAGGGTGTGAACTCAGCTTTGCATAACTCCTGTCTCTGAGGTGACCCCAGTGTCCTCAAGTGACCTGTGAGACTGAGAGGGGCTTGCCAGGAGTGCTGCAGTATACCAGAGCAGGAAGGACCTAGGGACACCTGGGAGGTCCTGGTAGACTCCCTGGCAAGAGGGCATCTGGGGTCCAAGCTCTAGCTCAGAGCAGGGGAAGGGGGTCACAAGGAAACCCTGATTACACAGCTGTCTTCCTCAGGCCTGACCCAGCTGACCTCCCTTCCAGCTTCCCTCCCTTCTTTCAGGGCGGCTGTGGAGGGTGGGAGGGCCAGGCGAAGCCCCTCCCATCGCAGTCTGTCCATCCCCCCAGGGCGCCGAGACCAGGAAGCGCTCGCCCACACTCAGCAGCCAGTTCAAGCGGTCGCTAGAGCTGCTGATGCGCACGCTGGGTGCCTGCCAGCCCTTCTTCGTGCGCTGCATTAAGCCCAATGAGTTCAAGAAGCCCATGGTGAGTGGCCATGGCCAAGCAGGGGTGAGAGGGCATGGGGACGGGTCAGGGTGGGATGAGGGTAGGTGAGTGATGCAGGATTTTATCCTGTTTGGGAGAATGGTGGGCACTTGAGGGCATATAAAAGGGGTACCCACATTTGCTGAAAGTGCAGGTATGCTGGAGAGAGCAGGTTTAAATCCTGGCTCTGCTACCTCCAAGCTGGGCAAATGCAGAAAAGTCACTTACTCCTCGTGAGCCTCAGTTTCCCTGTGGTTGGGAATGGGACCCATTATACCCACCTCCTGGGCACGTTCCACACAATGGTGCATGCAGACTGCCTGGCCCCTAGTAGGTTCTCAGTGGATGCCCAAGTGGCTCATGCTGCTGCCCCTCTTTTGAAGGCCCCCTCCTACCACCCACTCCTCCTGGAAGCCGCCTGCCTCCTCAACTGGGACCCTTCTCATTTTTGACTCTTAAAAATAACATTTGTTGGGCTCTTTTTGTGTGCTTGGCACAGCCTCATTTGGCTTTTGCAAGCAGCCTCTGAGGAAGAGCCCATGTCCCAGCTTGGAGAGGCAGGATTGGGACTCAGGGGAATCAAGCCCAGACCCCAGAAACCCTCTCCTTCCAAAGCTAGGTTCTGAGAGGTGTTGTTTACCCAGAGGCCTGGGGGTAGGCTGAGGGGAAGCTGGGCCATGGGGTCTGGGGCGGGAGGAAAGGAAGGCGGGGAAAGTGGCCCTGAGGGAGAGGAAAGAGGCTGCGGAAACCAACCATCCGCACGCACTGTCCCCAACAGGAAGTCATTTCCCAGCAAGGGCGAGGCCCTTTAGGACTCAGGTCTGAGAGGCAGAGGGTTCTCTCAAGCTCAGAGCTGGGAGCCCAGAAAGGCTGAGGCCAATTGGGTACCAGTTCCCTGGCCTTGAGTTGCCCTTCTCTCAGCTCAGAACTTGGCATCTGTGGCCTAGACCTTGGCAGCAGTCTCATCAGTGGTTCCCTCCTATGCTCCCCCTTGCCACCCACTGTCCCTTCTGCTGCAGTGACAATGTTATCAAATGCAAATCCAACCCTGTCTCTCCCTGCCCCAAACCTTCCCTGGCTCCTGTCATCCAGGGATGAGGCCCAGCCTCCCTCCCTGCCTCTGAGTCTAGCTGCAGCCCAGTGCCTGCTTTCTGCTTTCTCTCATCACCCCCACCCTGAACCCCAGGCTGCTCTGCCCTGCAACCATCACAACAAACACACAACTTTGTAATCCCAGCATGCCCAGAAGCTGAGGCAGGAAGACTGAAAATTTGAGCTCAGCCTAGGCAACTAAGTAACATAAGGCGACCCTGACTAAAAAAAAAAAAAAATTAAAAAGAGCTGGGGATGTAGCTCAGTACCAAGGCCCTTTATTCAATCCCCGGCACCACAGAAACAAATGAAAACAACTTCATGTGAATTAGAAAAATGTACCTCTCATTGAAAGCATTGTTGGATCAGGTTCATTGGCAAACCAGAGGGGCCACAGATCTGACCAACACACTTTCCTCAGCTTCTCAGGGCAAAACCCTAGAATGTGGTCTGAATAACTACAAATCCATGATGGCTGCCACATGGGTGGCGCTCCCAGGATTATGCAAATTACCCCCGCCCACCTTGATGCCTCTGGCTGTGTGCTTGGCAGCTATTTGACCGGCACTTGTGTGTGCGCCAGCTGCGCTACTCGGGCATGATGGAGACCATCCGGATCCGCCGCGCTGGCTACCCGATCCGCTACAGCTTCGTGGAGTTCGTGGAGCGGTACCGAGTGCTGCTGCCCGGTGTGAAGCCGGCCTACAAACAGGTCTGGGGGCCTGGGGCACAGATCGTGGGAGGGGAAGGTCCCAGCTCTGGCATGGCAAGGGTCCAGGTCTCACACTGGGATAGTGAGTTGAGCATGACATCTGCTCAGCCACCGCAAGGACTGCTGGGAAGAGTGGGGGCCGGGCAGTGGGACACGTCGTCACAGGGCTTCTAACACCATGGTGGTTGTCATCAGACTGATAGGGAGAAAGTGGAGGTGCAGAGAAGGTGGGACCTGGCTGGGGTCACACAGCCAGTCAGGGGCAGACCTGTGGCAAGGACACTGAGAGGCCTTCCTGCTGGCAAAGCTGCCCATTCCCTTGTACCCTTCTCCAGGGTGACCTTCAGGGGACATGCCAGCGTATTGCTGAGGCTGTGCTGGGCACCCATGATGACTGGCAGATCGGCAAAACCAAGATCTTTCTGAAGGTGAGTAAGGGCCTCTGTCCAGGTCTGCTCTGGGACTGTGACTTCCATTAAGGGCGGGGACTGAGAGGTTGTGCCTGGCTGGGTAAAGCCCTCCCCAGTCACAGCCCTGACCCAGGTTAGAAGCTAAAGGTCAGAGGCCTTATCTGTTAGCCGAATAGCAGGAGGCCCGGATTCAAATCCTAACCCTGTTTGTCAGCACAGGGACTTTGGCCAAGTCACTGACCGTTTCTGCCTTCTTCTCCTATCAATAAAATGAGATGAGCTTGAGGTGGTCTAGAGTGTATCTGAGGTCCCTTCCTGTGGTTTCCTGCCGGGCAGGCTTCCGAGGGCTGTGGTCAGCAGTTGCCACCCATCTGTGGCTCTGTCGCAGGCACCCTGAGTGCAGCAGCTCAAGCCCTGGCGTTCACAGCTGCCTGGGTGGTGGAGGAGGGGCAGGAAGCCAGGCCCGGGAGTCATGGTCTTGGAGAACTTGCTGGGAGTGGGCCGTGCCAGGGCAGCTGCAGTGGGGACAGTGTGGGCTTCTCCATTTCCATTTCTTCTGTGCTAGATTTCAGGCTGTCCTGGGTGGTAGGGCAGGGCTCCTGGCTGGTGTGCGGGTGGGGCCGGTGGCTAGGATGGCTGTCAGAGGAGTGGGAGGACCCAGACCACAGCTGGGGAGTTTGGGGACTAACTGGTCTTATTCCTTCGAAGCCGAAAAGCTGTGAGTCAGTCCTGTACCTCCCGAGCCCTCGTCTCCTCACTGAATAAATGTGCCAATACCCCCAGCTATGCAACCTGTAACTGCAGGCTGGAAAGCACATTCTCTATGCCATTCAATCCTTCTATAATGTCAGTTATTCCAACAACTCTGTGGATTAGGAAGTATTCTGGCCATTTCATAGGCCCAGAGAGGAGGAGTACATGGCCCAAAGTCAGGCAGCTGGGAAGCAGAGAGCAGGGCTTCCAGCCTGCGATGGTCTCATGCCCAGCCCTAGTGTCAGCAGAGGAGAGCGGGAGGGAAGCATGGCGGCATCTAACACCAGAGAACTCAGAGAAGTGTCCTCATCCTTATTTTTCTGGGCTCTTCAGATGTGGTGGTGTTTTGAGAATAAAGGGGTCCATGTCTCATTCATTCATTGGTCATGATGAAATCCAGGGCTAGTAGCTCTTCGCCACTATTCCTTGTCTGTCTGATGGCTTTATCGATGTGGCTCCCCTGTGAGACTCTCACCTGCCTAAAGGCAGAGGCCTGTCTGCCTGGGCCACTGAGACACCACTCTGGCATCTAGCTCGGTGCTGGCACACAGGGCCATGCCATGAGTGTCTACTGAATGGATCAAGGAAGTCGTCCAGCTGGAGTGAGGGGTGAGAAAGAGAGAGGGCTGAAGGTATCAGCCAGGCCTGGGTCACCATCAGGGTTGTGTTTAGGAGGGTCAATTGGGCTCAATGTAAGGGAGGACCAGAGGGGAAATGATAGGGCCAGGAGATCGCTGAGGAGGAGGCTGTTCTCAAGATTCTGGGGAGAAAGGACAGTGGCCTAGCCAGGGATCCTGGGTTATCTAGCACTGCAGGGCTGGGCAGAGATGGCAATGGGATGGAATGTTGAGTCCTCTCATCCCATCTAGTGAAATGAGGCTCCTCTGCTCCTTTGGTCCCATCAGGGGCCCTGGGAAACAGCCACAACCTATAGTGATGTCAGAGGCTACTCCGTGGGGGCCTGAGCAGACCTAGGAGCCAGTGGGGCCCCACTGGGACCTGGGCTCTGAGTGAGGCAATTGAGTGCCCACCCGGGTCCAAGCTGGTGCCCTCCAGGAGGCATCATTGGGAACTCTACCTTCCAGGACCACCATGACATGCTGCTGGAGGTGGAGCGGGACAAGGCCATCACCGACAGGGTCATCCTCCTCCAGAAGGTCATCCGGGGGTTCAAAGACAGGTATGTGCCCTGACTAGCTCCCGCCACCTTGGCCCATGTGCACGCACATGTGTGCAACTACTACTTCCTGACATGAACACCAGGAATAACCATGCACACCCAGAAATAAGCACCATGCATGGCATGCGCTCATGGTGTCCACAGTTCACGCCTCCTTTATTTTCTCTACCTCTTAGCAGGCGCCTGCTGTCTAGTGTGGGGAATCTCTGTCATCCATTGGGCTGGAGATGGCTGTTAATGTGGAGAAGCAGCCTGCTGTGTATTGGCAGATAAACAGGCGTCCTCAGAGTCAGAGACACAGCCTGTTATCCCAACCTCAAGTCTTAGCTTCCTCATCCTTAAAATAATGGAGTTTGATGGTTCAAAGCTCTGTTTTATATTATTTCATTTATTAATTTGTTTAGACATTTACTCATTCAACAAGTACCTCAATGGGCTTATGTGACAAGCCTGTGCATTAGGAATGGCAGGTGTTAAGCTACCCCTTTTCCAGAGGAGAATGCTAAGGCACAAGGTCATACAGCTGAGATGTCACAGAGCTGAGGCTTACTGTGCTTTCCTAAACTTCCAAGACACCTGGACCCTGGCTGCCTCCAAGCCCCAGCTCTCCGCTCTGAGATTTACCCAATCTCTGCTACCATTTCAGGTCCAACTTCCTGAAGCTGAAGAATGCAGCCACACTGATCCAGAGGCACTGGCGGGGCCACAACTGTAGAAGGAGCTATGAGCTGGTGAGCCTCCCCACCAGCTGCTCCTCGCAGGTCAGGCCTTTGAACCAGGCCTCGTTGCCATGGCAACAGGACTTAGCTGCACTGAGGCAGCACGCCCCAGCCGGCCCCTAGCTTCCCTCCAGCCAAAGTCCAGATCTAGTGGCTCTTTCCAACTGGTCAACAATGTTCACTGCTTTTCTTCTGGAATGTTTTCATGAGTTGTGAATACACTGGTTATTGGAGACCTCAAAGCAGCCAGAAGTGGCTAGGTCATGGGTGGCCCCTAGGGGGAGCCTAGACTTGGGGTGAGAGGTAGACAGGAAGTGGACTGTTTGGTTATAGCGCCTGGTCCAGGCTGGGGTCACTTAGGGACCCATCTCAGGGAGAGTCTTGGCCACCCTTTAGAAAACTTCCCCCCCTGATGGAAGGCAGCTTGAAGTATTGGAGCCATCACCTCCTTTAAGCAAAGACTAAGCCTTGCCTTGGGGGTGCCAGTCTGCCAGCAGAGGCCGATGCAGTGGAGGCTCTTGTGGCAGGGGCCATCCAGGCTGGGGCACTGTTCTGAGCATGGGCCATGTCCTTGCAGATGCGCCTGGGCTTCCTGCGGCTGCAGGCCCTGCATCACTCCCGGAAGCTGCACCAGCAGTACCGCCTGGCCCGCCGACACATCATTGAGTTCCAGGCCCGATGCCGAGCCTACCTGGTGCGAAAGGCCTTCCGCCACCGCCTCTGGGCTGTGCTCACCGTGCAGGCCTATGCCCGTGGCATGATTGCCCGAAGGCTACACCGGCGCCTCAAGGGTGAGGTGAGGGCCTCTGTCCTCAGAGCTGTGTGCAGCCAAGGCCTGCGGGCGACCTGTGACTGTCCTGCCCTGAGAAGTACATAAGACTGGGACCAGATCCCCCCTTCCACCTTCCCGACCACAGGCAGGACGAGGGCCCCAGCATCCCATGTGTCTTCAAGAGGCCAAGGCAAATCTTGTCTGGCTTTGGGGTCCCTAGTGTCCCCACCCATGTGTGATCTGGAGAACATCTCAGCTGCCTGTTTCCACATCTGCTAAAGTACTTGACAAAGTCATTCACAGGTCCAGAACTCAGGGGGGGTAGAGGTGACAGGAAGTACTGTGACAGATGCTACATCTGATGCCCACCTGGCTTTCTTTCCTCAGTATTTGCGGCGCCTTGAGGCAGAGAAGATGCGGCTGGCAGAGGAGGAGAAGCTCCGGAAGGAAATGAGTGCCAAGAAGGCCAAGGAGGAGGCGGAGCGCAAACATCAGGTGAGCTTCGGACACGGGAGCACCTCCAGGGTCACTCACTGGCTCTTCAGCTCTCCTCAATCTCCAGCCACTTGGCACCTGTCCCTACAACCCTCCTCACTTTCCAGGCCCATCAGTGCTCATCTGCTGAGCTGTCTCTCGGAGCTGGATCTGAACCAGGTGAAAGGATAGAGGGATGGGGCTCGAGAGCAAGAGGGCCTGCACCCCTGCAAGGCCTGCCATGCTGGAGATAAAAAACCTGATTCAGGGGTAGCACCAAAGGCCATGTGGCGTAATATGGGGGCCACCAGCCGTAAGTGCTACTGACACATGAAGTGTAGCTCATCCCAGTGGCACGGTGCTACAAGAGTAAAATACAACCTAGCCTCTGAAGATTTAGTGAGCAGAAAGGATGTATAATGCCGCAGTATTATTTTCATAGTATTGATTACATGTTAGGATGATATTTGGGAGAGAAGTGTTAAATAATATTATTAAAAGTAATTTTACTTATTTCCTTTTACTTTTTTTTTTTGGTACCAGGGATCGAACTCGGGTCCTTGATCTTGCGAGGCAGGCGGTGGAACCACTGAGCTAAATCCCCAGCTTCCTTTTACTTTTTAAAATGTGACTATCACTTGCACTGCTCATGGTATATTTCTCGTGGGCAGTGCTTGTCCAGAGCCCCAGCCCATGGCCGTGGGATTACAGGGCTGGTGTGGGTACTGTGGGGGAGCTGCTCCCGGCTGAGCCTCAAGGACAGCCAGTGTCCAGGGCCCTCCAGTGGCTCAGCAGTGCTGGGCACCTGCCTGCCTTGGACACTGAGGCCAGAGCTCAGCTCGGCCAGCAGGGGAATGTGGAGGCCCAGTCCCTCCCTCTCTGTGCTCAGGAGGCCCTGGTAGAAGTGGGGGCTAGGGCTGCTGCTGGGCTCTCAGGCTTCCCAAGGAGAGTTTGTTTCCTACAGTTGCAGCACTAGTGCCTACTCCATCTCCTCTGTGTCACTCCAACTTCAGGAGCGCCTGGCCCAGCTGGCTCGTGAGGACGCAGAGCGGGAGCTGAAGGAGAAGGAGGAGGCTCGGCAGAAGAAGGAGCTGCTGGAGCGAATGGAGCGGGCCCGCCACCAGCCCATCAACCACTCGGACATGGTGGACAAGATGTTTGGCTTCCTGGGGACTTCGGGTGGCCTGCCAGGCCAGGAGGGCCAGGCACCTAGCGGCTTTGAGGTACCAGGCTGGGCTCAGGCCCCAGAGGCTCCTCTGCACCCGGTGTGATGGCCTTCCCCCCTCTGGTGTCCCTTTGCATTAAAGCCCACCTGGGCCCTCTGAGCCGAGAGCAGTAATGAGGACCTGAATTGGGAACTGCAGGTACCTGCCATGTGACCGTGGGGCAGTCACTGGAGGAAGAGCTGGCTCTGCAGGGACAGCCTGGGGAATAGCAGCCCAGCCCTGAGTCTGCCCCAGGCCCTCCCACCTGGATGCCAGGCCCACACGGCAGGGAGCTCCTTTGTGTCCATCAGGACCTGGAGCAAGGGCGGAGGGAGATGGTGGAAGAGGACCTGGATGCAGCCCTGCCCCTGCCCGACGAGGATGAGGAGGACCTCTCTGAATACAAATTCGCCAAGTTTGCTGCCACCTACTTCCAGGGCACAACAACGCACTCCTACACGAGGCGGCCCCTCAAGCAGCCGCTGTTGTACCACGATGACGAGGGCGACCAGCTGGTGAGGCCTGCCTGCGCTGGGTCACTGATCAGGGCCAGGGCTGGGACTGTGGGTGCTTCCAGGGCAGTGAGCCCTGGCTCCTAGGGCTGGACCCAAGCTGGTATTTCTCCAGCTGTCTCCACACACCCCAGGTTGTGTCCACAGTTTGAGCATGTCTTCAAACCTGGCTTTCTGGCACATGTGCTCTGCTCCTAGGCAGCCCTGGCAGTCTGGATCACCATCCTCCGGTTCATGGGGGACCTCCCGGAGCCCAAGTACCACACAGCCATGAGTGATGGCAGTGAGAAGATCCCTGTGATGACCAAGATTTATGAGACCCTGGGCAAGAAGACTTACAAGAGGGAGCTACAGGCCCTGCAGGGCGAGGGCGAGGTGAGGCCAGGGTACCCCAGCCAGTGGCCTTCCCAGGACAGTGAGGACGGTTGCCTGGGGTGCTCAACCTTGGGGTCCTTGGCAGAAGAAGCATCCTATGATTTATCTCTGTCTCAGTGTTCAGCCCCAGCCTGCCCTCCTCTCTCTACTCCTGGGAACAAATGTATAAAAGTTTTGCAAACTGAAAAGTGCTGACCATAAATGAGGGGCTGCATAGCAGAGCAGACAGGCTTTGTCATCAGAGCCAGCTCCGGTAGTGACTCACCAGGAGACCCTGGGAAGGTCACTGTACTTTTCTGAGTCTCAGTTTTCTCATCTGCCTGTTGGCGGGTGGGGGTGGCAGTGTGAGATGTCCCATAAACATTAGCATGGAGGTGGGATGGTCCCCGGGCACAGTCCCACTGTCAAGCTATTTTGTCCCTGCTCTCTGCAGTCACTTGCCTCTGAACTCTGTTGGTCCTGCAGGCCCAGCTCCCTGAAGGGCAAAAGAAGAGCAGTGTGAGGCACAAGCTGGTGCACTTGACCCTGAAGAAGAAGTCTAAGCTCACAGAGGAGGTGGGTGCACACCCAGCACCTGGCAGCTTTGGGGGTGGTGCCTCAGGGGGCCAGGCTGTGGCAGGGCTGATCTGGGACCCGCAGGAGGGGGCCACGCTGCCTGTCCCCAAGGGCAGGACAATGGCAGGTGCTTGGATGGTAGGAGTGTATGCAAAAAGTGGTGAATGAGGTTGGAGTCTGGAGCAGAGGGGCTTCCAGAGCTGGCAAGGGTCTGGTGGCATATGGTGGGAGGGAAGGCACCTCCTGCCAGGGCTTGCACCCATGGCTTTTGGTCCTTTCAGACATGGGAACTTTCCTGTGGTAACAGTGCTCATGGAGCATCAGGACCACTGGCGGCTTTGAACCCCTCACTCAGCTCCCTCACCTTCTTCTGAGCACCGTCCCCGCCCAGTGCTCCAGGCCCAGCTGTGCTGCTGGGGTCCGAGTGGGATCGACACAGGCCGTGGCGTTCATGGCCACCTCTTCCACACCCCCTTGTTTGCACACACCTGAAATTCCTCCTCCTTCTCCGCCTGGGGGTTCCCTTCTCTGGGAAGCCTCTTTTTGACCCCCTACTTCAGGGTCAGGGGCTCCTGCATTGCCTCCACCTTGTCCTGTCCTCTCCTGGGTCACAAATCCTGTCTTGCAGCCACATAGGGTCAGATTTGAATCTTAGCTCTGTACTGGGTATGAAGGGACCTAGGCAAGGAAACACCCATTCCTGGGGCCTTGGGAGGAGGGTGCTGGATGGCAACTGAGCTTCGAAGACCTTCCCGGATTGTCCTACCTGCATCACACCCCTGCCTCTCACCCCTCACCACATCTGGGCATAGCACAGGGCTGCTGCTGTAGCTGTGTGGGACCAGAGAGGGGACATTCATCTTCAAAGAACCAGGTCTGGGCCCTTGATGAGTGGGAGGTTGGAGCCAGGGTGTACTCTGGTGCCGGAGATGTAGGAGGGGCCTGCCCTGGAGAGATGAGGTCTTGCTTAGAATCTGATGGGTAGGGCCATCCTGGCCGGAAAGGCCTCCCTGGGGTGGGGGCTGGGGTGCAGGGGATCAGGCAGGCTGCAGATGAGCTGTGTCTCAGAATATGGTGGCCCCAAGCCCATGCTTCACAGCCATGGGCTTGTTCTTGCTCTGTGGGGTGGGGCGGTGACAGTGGCAGAGTCCTCAAGGGACCCTGTACTCTTGAACTTTACCAGCCCTGGTCAATCCTGTCCCCTTGGACCAGGTGACCAAGAGGCTGCACGACGGGGAGTCCACAGTGCAGGGCAATAGCATGCTGGAGGACCGCCCCACCTCCAACCTGGAGAAGCTGCACTTCATCATTGGCAACGGCATCTTGCGGCCAGCGCTGCGGTCAGTGCTCTAGGGGGCAGCACTGCCACACGGCAGGGTGGCGGGGGGGGGGTACCCCACCCTCCCCGACAGGGCCTGGAGGCCTTTTGCTGGGTGGATGTGGCTCCATCACCTTAGCAATAGATGAAGCCCAGAGGTCTGTGTTTGACTGTGCTGCTGGCTAGTTCTGTGACCTTCATCAAATTCTTTTATCCTCCAAGCCTGTGGTTCCTAGGCTGTAAAGGGAAATAATAATAATGCTCACCTCAAATGCTAATCCCTCTCTCCTCCCAGCCTCAGTAAAGAGAGTGGGTCAGGTTGGAGACTCAAGTGGAAGGGGATAGGTTTTCACTGACCTCTAACGATCTGGGAACTAGAGCCACACGTACTTCAAAGGTTGTTCTTTCTGCTCTAATTTTACCCTTCCTACTCCTTAGCTATTTTTTTTTTTGGTACCGGGGATCGAACTCGGGTCCTTGCGCTTACACAGCAGTGGGGAAACCACTGAGCTAAATCCCCAGTCCCTCCTTAGCTGTTTAAAATGGCTGTTGTTTTATGAAATGATTGGGGTAGTGGACAGGGTGTGTGTATGCACACGCGTGATGTTTTTGTTATCATAAAAAGTTGACAACTTCTAGAATTTATGTAAAAGTCTCTTGGCCCATGAATTCTCAAAATACAGGAGCCACTGAATCAAGATAATCCCTTCTGCTAGGCAGGCCCTGCCCTTGGAGAAGGAAGACGAGCAGGAGCGCCCCCTGGTGGTCATTGCATCACCGTGTGTCTGCCCTTGTCCCTGAGCAGGCAGGCTGCCCTCTTTGAGTTCCCACCTCAGGGGATGGAAGAAATGTCACCACAGCAGTGATCACAGCAGCTGCCCTTTACTAGAGGCTCACTGTGCTAGGCCCTATGCTAGGTGCTTTATAAGCCTCAGCTCATCTTTTTATACAGAAATCACATAAGGATTATTTTCAAATGAAAACAAAAAAATTACTCTCCTTGTTTTAATCTCACTACTTCAGTATTCACGCGTTACAGAAATAGGCGCAGTCCCTGCTCATCTGGCCCCAGAGACATGCCCTGGCTTTTTTCTGCTGTACCAGTTGGCATTGGTAGGAGCTCCCCTGACTATGGGCTGGGGTTGGAGAAGCGAAGCCATCCATCCAGGACACTCAGTGGGTCACCAGTGAGGCAGAGCTGGGCCTGTGCTTCTCACCAGTGTGGCCGCTGTGCCCAGAGTGGTTCTCCAGACGGGGTCCCTGGCTGTGGCCTCTGGACTGGAGCCAGGAAGGTGCTTCATGCTTGATGATCCTGTCCCTAAAACAGTGCCCCTTTGGTGGCTGCCCAGAGCTCTGGGCTCAGCCTCCCCACCTGGCCCCCTCTGGCTCCTCCTGAATGGTCTTGGGCAAGCTGGACAGAATGGCCGACCTGCTGTTGGGAAGGGGGCCAGCTGCTCCTCTGAGGTGATCCCTCCTGCACAGGGATGAGATCTACTGCCAGATCAGCAAGCAGCTCACCCACAACCCATCCAAGAGCAGTTATGCCCGCGGCTGGATCCTCGTGTCTCTCTGTGTAGGCTGTTTTGCTCCCTCTGAGAAGTTTGTCAAGGTAAGAGAGGTGCCTGGGGCAGAGGGGGCTGGCCCTGTCCTGGTATTGGGGGAGAGAGTGGAGAAAAAGCTCAGCAGGGTCTCTCACCCAACCCTAGGCCCCTGAGTCCCTCTGCCCAGGTAGCCACCACTTGGCTCTGTCCTCCCTCATCGCTGTTATACTTAGGCTGAGTCTGACAGGTTATGTCCTGGGCCCCATGCACATGTCTTAGGGCAGTCACCTCAGTTCAACTCGGTGTCAGGCCTGGATGCTGGTTGGGGCTGTAAGGGTGGAAGAGGTGGTAGAGTCTAGACTGGGTCCCAGAAGAGAACAGTTACACTGGGCAGAGGGAGTGACGGCATGTGCAGGGCAAGGCAGGAGACCTGGCAGAGAACAGCTGGGGCTGGACTATGTGATTTTGTGGCCAAGGCATAGTCCATGGACTTGGTCCAAGTGCAGTGAGAACCATGGCTGGAGAGGAGGGATGTGGTCAGTCCTGCCTCTGTGAGCAGGTCCTGAGTGTGCTGCAATGGTCCGGGTGGGGGAGGCCCAGGGCTGCTGGGGTGGGGCCTCATTGGGCCGGCTGTATGTAGTACCTGCGGAACTTCATCCACGGGGGACCCCCTGGCTATGCCCCATACTGTGAGGAGCGTCTGAGGAGGACCTTTGTCAACGGGACGCGGACACAGCCACCCAGCTGGCTGGAGTTGCAGGTGACCTCATGCAGTTTTTGCACACTCACTACACTCTGGTGCCCCCCCCCATGCTCCCTGCTTTGGGATACAGTGGTTCCTCAAGTGCCTACCTCAAATTCTGTAATCTGGGCCCCTGGGTGCAGGACAGCCCCCCGAGGATCATTGAGTGCCATCTGTTAGCCAATGCCAAAGGGCCTTGGATGCAGGGGATGCCCTCTGCATCACAGTGGTTCAGCAGCAGCATGGGGATGATGAGACCATCCTGCAGGGTCTTACGATGGTTGTGTGAAGTGAGTGCAGAAGGCCCTGCATGTGGCAGTGCCTGACCTCTCAGCCCAGGGCACTGGCACAGGGGACCTAATGGGACCCATCTGGGAGAGCTGTGTAGCAGGGCCTCCAGCCACCTGTGACAGGGATAGGCAGTGTCCTAGTGGGATGCTTGGGGCCTAGGGCTCAAGGGGAGCTTTGGCCCCACAGAGAGCATGGAGCCAGGGTACAGAAAGTAGGCTGGTCTGAAGTGACCCCATAAATCCTTGGTCACCTCAAGGCCACCAAGTCCAAGAAGCCCATCATGTTGCCTGTGACATTCATGGATGGGACTACCAAGACCCTGCTGACGGACTCGGCGACCACAGCCAAGGAGTTGTGCAATGCCCTGGCTGACAAGATCTCCCTCAGGGACCGTTTTGGGTTCTCGCTCTACATCGCCCTATTTGATAAGGTATAGCGGCCTACAGCACCACCTCCCGGTGCCACTCAGCAAGGCCACTGGCCCCTATCTCAGTGTGCTGCTTACTAGCTCAAGTGACCTCCAGTGGGTTACTTAGGCCAGGGGTAACCTGAATCTGTCCGGCTCATCAGGATAGTGACAGGCTCTTAGGCACCAAGAAGCTCCTCAGGGCCTTGCAGACTGAAACCCAAGCCCCTAGGGTGTCATGTGCTCAGCCTGAAGGAATCCTCCCGCGGTACCCAGCTGTGTTCCTGGGAGCCACCTGGGAACGTACTTCCATATTGGCTTGCTGTGACATGTGACAGAGAGTTCTACAAGTGGTCATTCCTTTCCACTTGTCCTCCACCAGCTGGCATGTGAACACCTCCAACTCGGTCCTGCAGCCATCTCCACTGAGCTAAGCCAGGGACTTTGGGAATTTCACCTCTACTCAGCCAGTCCAGGGACAGAACTTGTGGCTGGGCACGGTTCACCTGGATTTTTCTCTCTCACACACACACTAGGTCTAGAAAAGATAATATAAGATAATCTACTAGGTCTAGAAAGATAATAATTGAGTATGCTGGCTCCAAGCCTATGCCTGGGATCCACAGTTCCCTTTTGTGTCTGCTTCCTGGGGACCTGCGCCTCATTTCCATCTGGACTAAAACAGTTGACACAGTTGCTAGCTCCTCAGAGTCTTCCCGACTAGGGAGTCTGCCCACTCTTCCTCTGTGCCCACAGGTGTCCTCCCTGGGCAGTGGCAGTGACCATGTCATGGATGCCATCTCCCAGTGTGAACAGTATGCCAAGGAGCAGGGTGCCCAGGAGCGCAATGCACCATGGAGGCTCTTCTTCCGTAAAGAGGTCTTCACACCCTGGCACAACTCCTCAGAAGACAATGTGGCCACCAACCTCATCTACCAGCAGGTGGTGCGAGGGGTCAAGTTTGGGGAATACAGGTGTGAAAAGGTGAGTGAGAGGGAATCTCCTGCACTTGCTTGACCCTCAGCCACCTGTGTTTCCAAATCTGGGCCGCATGTTACTGTCTGTGACCAACCAGCAGCCAGTGCTGAGGTGGGACTGTTTGCTGTTGGACATTCTCCAGGCTTCTCCTGGATTTAACCCACGTTCCTCATGGGAGCTGTGAGGATGCGGTAATGTGACAGGAGCAGGGGCTTTAAAGATCATCCTGGATTCTGTCCCTGGGAGGTGTCCCCACACTGCTGCAGTCTGTGCATGCTACGCTGTATGTGCTTCAGTGCATACCTGTGGCACTGTTCTGGGTTAGTCTAGTAAACTCTGGATGAGAAGGAAATTCAGTCAAATTTAGACTGGACTTTGCACATGTATATTGCTTTCTCTCCTAAGGACAGGAACAATGTGGTTGCCTTGTTTTGTGATGATGGTGATGGTGGTTCTGATGGTACTTAGGGTTCTATTAATGATTGTGATGAGGGATGAGGATGAGGAAGTGAAGAGGATAGTTGTGGTTGGTGGTTACGGTGGAGGGAGTGATGCTGTGAGAGGTAGTGATGACGTTGTTGATGATGGCGTTTACTGTTGGTATTGATGGTGATACTGGTAATGTGGTAGTGATGCACCAGCTGTATTATTGTCTAAAATTTGGAAATACTTGAAACTCATTAGAAACTCAAGGCCACCAGAACCTAGCTGTATTTCCTGCTGTTGGAGCCCTGGAGAGTCCCAGGCAGGCAACACTGGCTGTCATGCACCAGCCCAGGCAGAGAAGGGCCAATGTCTAGTGCCCACCTAGCACTCTGCAGTCTTAATTATCTCCCAGATGCTCAGCAATGATGACAGAGATAGTAATAGTGAGTCAATGAATTATCGGTGAAGCAATGAAAATAGAGGGTCCCAAAGGCCAGGGTCCCAGACCTACGCGGGAGGCAGGGCCAGGAAAGGGCTGTCAGTGGTCTGGAAGGGCTTCCCAAAGGGGACTGGACCACAGGTGTGACTAAGGTCTCCTCCCCTAGGAAGATGACCTGGCCGAGCTGGCCTCCCAGCAGTACTTTGTGGACTATGGCTCAGAAATGATCCTGGAGCGTCTCCTGAACCTTGTGCCCACCTACATCCCTGACCGCGAGATCACACCCCTGAAGACACTCGAGAAGTGGGCCCAGCTGGCCATTGCAGCCCACAAGAAGGTAGAAGACCAGGAGAGGGCTTGGGGGAGGGGTCAGGACCCAAGCAATTGAGGTCACAGTTTCCTTCAACACGCCTCCAACAGCTGTTTCTGCACTGTGAATATCAGTCACACCTGCCTCCTAACTCCTTCTCTGGGCTGGGTGCCAGGGACACAGAGCAGAATCACACCCAGTCCTGCAGGTCCTGAGGGAACCCCTGAGGCCATAGGTATTGAGGTGACATCCCTGGTCTTGTACCAGCTGCTTTACAGTGCTGTGTTTCCCAAGAGCTACTGTTCAGGAGTAGAGGTGGCACTAGAGGGAGGGACTGTTAGGCACCACTTTTTTTTTGGTACTGGGAATTGTACTCAGGGCCTCAAGCTTGCCAGGCAGGTGCTGCACCACTGAGCTACATCCCTGGCCCTGGGAGTGTCTAGGAAATGTGCACTTCTTTTCTAAAGGAACTCCAGCCGCCTTCCTGCCTGGTCACTCTAGGTTGAGGCTCTTTCCACACCCCTTGCTTGGAGCCCTAGGCCTGTGACCAGTGTGAGAGGTTCCTTCCTGAGCTAAGGAGCCTGTCCAAGTAGGCCAGGGGCATTCAGGTGGGGAAGGGGCTGAGGCACTGGCTCTGGCAGCAAACCCACCTGCAAGGCCCCTGCTGTGTCAAGGTAGACTCCTCCTTGCACATTAGTTGCTACAGGGCTCCACAGGTGCTCCTGCCTGTCATCTGCCACACCACATTCCTCTCCCTCACCTGGAGCCCCATGCTATCCCTGTCTACCCTCTAATCTCCCTGGTTAACTCCCACCAGACCCACTTGCCAGAATGCTTCCTGCACCAGCATCTCTGTCCAAGTATGACCCTCCTCTCCCATCCAGAGGAGTGTGTCCACCCTACCATCTCTCTGTCTTTGTTTTGTTTGTTTTTTTTGTTTTGTTTTTGCTATTGCTTCTCCTTCTCCCTTTGCATCTGGCCAGCTGCTGAAGTCTTCCATCAGCTGTGGCCTCCATCTTCAACCACCACCCCTCTGCCTTCCTTGGGGTTTGTATTAGTCAGCTTCCTCATTGCCGGGACACAATACCTGACATCCACAATTTAAAGGAAGAGATTTAATTTGCCTCACATTTTAAGGGGATTTAGTTCAGGGTCAGCTGGCTCCAAGGCAGAAACATCATGGCAGAAAGCTGATCAGTTCATGGTGGTCAAGAACCAGAACAGGGGAACAGCACCAGAGAGGAAGGGGAGAGGGAACAGACATAGATTCCCAAGACCACACCTTTATAACCCACCAATCTCCAAGGTAGATTTCAGAGCCAGTGCAGGTGATACTCCACCCCACCGGCCACAGAGTTCATTACAATCATGGCATGTGGCATGTGGAACGTGCATGTGGTGAGTACTGGGTTGGGTACCATTGTTCATTTTATTTTGATGCCAGGTACCAGATCTTTCCTCTGTGCTCACACATATCTGCATCCAGATTACCTTCTCCTCCACCCCTTCCTCTTTTTCCTCCTCCTTATCTCCTCCTCTTCTTCATTCTTCTTTGCTGACTATTGAACCCAGGGTCTTGCACATGCTAGGCAAGCATTCTACTAGGCTACATCCTCAGCCCTTTTTATTTTTTATTTTGACACAGCCTGAGTTGCCCAGGCTAGCCTCAAACTTGTGATTTTCCCATCTCAGCCTCACAAATAGCTGGGATTACAGTGTACCCCTAATTCCCTTTTCTTGTAAGTACACTAGACCTACTGGATTAGGACCCACCCTAAAGAGCTCATTTTAACTTTACCTCCTGTAGACCTTATGTTCAAACATGGTTCCTGCTGAGTTAGGACTTCAGCAGATGAATGGGGCGGGTGGGCGGCAGGGAGGCACAGTGCAGTCTAAAACATTTTATTCTGAAATCATTTCAAAGCTACAGAGAAGTTGCAAATTTAAAAACTTAGAACTGCTGCTTACATTTCAACTGGATTCTCATTATTCGCCCCACTTGCTTCATGATTTTCTCTCTGCAGACATGCATATTTTTTCCCCCAAACATCTGAGTTTATTTGTTTTTTGTTGTTGCTTTTTTGGTACTGGGGATCAAACTTGGGACTTTGCACTTACAAGGCAGGTGGCAGCACCATGAGCTAAATCCCCGGCCCCCAAACATCTTGAGTTTAGGTTGGCAAGCTGGCAAGCTGATGTTCAAGCTCCTTACCCTGAACATTGGCTGTTCCTGGCATGGTGTGGTATCTCAGCTCTCTCCATGCTGGAAATAGGGCAGCGTGTGGCTGGGACACAGCTGTCCTTATCTGTGTCTGTCTACATCCTGTCAAAACCATGTGCTCCTTCTGACCCCTCCAGTCCCTCTCCAACACCATACAGTTCTTACTAGGGCTTGGAAGAACAGTTTAGAGAAATGAAACTGGTTCTTTTGTTTCTTGCCAGGAGCATTGCCCCTCACTACTCACCTTAGCTCCAGGATCCAATCCCTCCTCTGATCTGCTCCTTCTAACTCCTGAGTGTCTCTATAGAAGCTCACTCTTGCAGCTGCAGTCACCTGCAGTCCTGGGCCCTAGCTTCTTTGTGCCACCCCCTGCCCCCGCTGTTCCAGCACTCCCTGCCAAACCCCCATCTCCTCTGCAGCAGTGCAAACCTCCATTGGATCCTGGGCACTAACTAGATTCCTTAGCTTTCCTGTCGCTGCTGAATTCCGAGCTCCTGGGATGGGGCAGGGTGTGGCAGCTTTGTTTTCTCCAGCTTTGTGCCTTGGGACCTGCATGGAAGCAGAGCCTCACACAGGCTCCCTGATGTTGACTGGATGGGGTGGTGGGAGTGGCAAGGCCATGAGGCACAGCAGGGTGCGGTAGCCCTGGGCCACCCCTGGTTCAAAAAAAGGGACATCTGATTTCTAGAGCTTGTACACCATCCTTTGTCCCTCTGTCCTTGCCAGGGGATTTATGCACAGAGGAGAACTGACGCCCAGAAGGTCAAAGAAGATGTGGTCAATTATGCCCGTTTCAAGTGGCCCTTGCTCTTCTCCAGGTTTTATGAGGTCTACAAATTCTCAGGTAGCCCCAGCCTCATGTTCTTGCAGCCCCTCACCCTATGGCCCCATGGCAGAGGGAGGGAGGTCAGCCAGGCTCCAGTCAGGGGCCATGGTCTTCTCAGGTCACATTGCCGGGAGTTCCAGTCCAGTAGTGACTCCAGGGCACACAGGAGGTGCTCATGGCTGACTGAGTTGAACTGTGTAAAAATCGGAATGGCTTAAGCACTTACTGTAAGGAGGATGACCCAGAGTATGCCAGGGACCTCTGCTGGGCACTCTGCTGAAGCTGAGATGAGTGTGACAGACACCAACCCACATGGGTGACACATTGGCCTTGGCCATTGTTACTGGGCATCTATCTGCTCTGAGCCAGGCCTGTGCTGTCATCAAACATTGGGTCAGAGGGAACCCTGGGGTTCTGCTCTCCAACCCTCCCCATATCCCACATTGGTGCAAGCCGGGGACTTGTCCAGAGCTGCACAGAGACCAGTGGCAGGGACGGGACTGATACCGAGTTTGATACCGCATTTCCTGATCCAGCACTCTCTTCCCACTGCACTTGGGTTTTGGGTTGTAGGGTGGCCTTGCTTTCTGAATCTGTTTCTCCGTTTGTAAACTGGAAACCAGTATACTCCCATCGTTGCTGCCTCTTTGATGGTTTTCAGGATTGAGAGAGGCTGGGCCCAGGAGAAAGGGTGTGTCCCTCTCAGTGCTTCTGTCATTGTCCCAGGTCCCACCCTTCCCAAGAATGATGTCATTGTGGCCGTCAACTGGACGGGTGTCTACTTTGTGGATGAGCAGGAGCAAGTGCTCCTGGAATTGTCCTTCCCGGAGATCATGGCGGTGTCCAGCAGCAGGTGAGGAGGGGTGGAGCACAGACAGACGAATGGGGAGGGAGAGGGAGTGGGGTGCTGCTGTGGGTCGGTCACGCAGTGCACAGACAGTGGACTACATGGCGGGAGGGCTCTTTGGAAACTGAAAAGTGCAGTGCGCTCAGGGTGGGGGCACAAGTTCCTGGAGAGTTCAGTGACCTTGAGTCCCACCTGGGGTTTGTAGGGATGTCTCTGGGCTGTGTCTGACGGGCTGGGCTGGGCTGTGTCCAGCTCTGACTAGGCACATAGGATGCAGTGGTGACAGTGCTTGCCCCCCTGGAGCTCAGTCAATCAAGGAGACAGATACCAAACAAGGACAGTATCGTGATGGCTGGGGAGGCTGGGGAGGACTTCCCAGAGCACATGGCATCAAGGCTGAGACTTGTAGGGTGAGCAGGACTCAGACAGGGGAGGAGATGTGGGCTGGGCCGATGTGGGCCTGTGTGAGGGCTATGTCTATCTGGTACTGAGACGTGTCTGACCCGGTCATGCCTCCCTGGCTGGACCACGCTGTGCTGTGATTGCTCCTCATCTCCGGTGGCTGGGCTGCTGACTTGGCTGGCCTTGGTCTCCTTCAGGGAGTGCTGTGTCTTACTCTCGCTGGGCTGCTCTGATCTGGGCTGTGCTGAGACTCACTCGGGCCGGGCAGGACTGATCCCGGCTGGGGCCTGTTCTCCGTGTTGGTCCTGCAGGGGAGCAAAACTGACGGCCCCCAGCTTCACACTGGCCACCATCAAGGGGGATGAGTACACTTTCACTTCCAGCAATGCCGAGGACATCCGTGACCTGGTAGTCACCTTCCTGGAGGGACTCCGGAAGAGGTCTAAGTATGTAGTGGCCCTGCAGGACAACTCCAACCCTGGTGAGTGGTGGCCAGCATGGGTAGCCAGGGGGGTCAGGGAGACCATATGCTTTGACCTTGGCTGGTACTCAGGGCTGTTAGGGCCTTGTCAGCTGCCCTTCCCAGACATTGGGCGAGACCGCATGACTCACCTTCATGTGCCCTGTGGGGAACCTTCCTCTCCCTCTCTCAGGGCCCTCATTACATATCTCCTGTCACTTTCTCAAGTCAGATCATGGGTCTTGCTCAGTGATTTCCAAAACCCTCTGCCTTCAAATGACAGCAGCATAACGGCTACCCTAACTGAGCATCTCCCAGGCCACCTAGGCCCAGAGTGTGGACCCTACCTTCAGTGGGGAGTGGGGCAGGACAGTGACTAGGGAAGCCTAGAGACTGTGGGAGCTCACCAGGGAGACCTCAGGCAGCCCAGGGCCTAGGGAGAAAATATGAGTGAGCAGAGTGTATGAGACAGAGGGCAGAGCACGGACTAAGCACGGAGGCAGGAGAAAGGTGGCATGTCCGGGAATGGACATGTATTTGGTTTAACTGGAATGGTCGAAGGGAGAGAGGAGGAGCATGAAGCAAGGTGGAAAGAGTCAGGCAGGCCCACTCAACACAGGCTCAGGAGTGTAGGTTTTCTCCTAAGGGCTATGGGAAGCCACAGAAGGTGGCTTTGTCTGTGTGAAGGGTCGTGACAAGGTGGAGGCAGGATGACAGATAAGCAGACATGAGGCAAATAGAGCATCTGCTCTTCAGTGGAGGGTAGTGGCTTATAGATTACCAACCCAAATAAAGATGTATGACCCAGCCTCTCTCTCTGCCTGCATGTGGCTCTGCTCCCCTCTGCTCTGAAGTGGGCGAGGAGTCGGGCTTCCTCAGCTTTGCCAAGGGAGACCTCATCATCCTGGACCATGACACTGGTGAGCAGGTCATGAACTCAGGCTGGGCCAACGGCATCAATGAGAGGACCAAGCAGCGTGGGGACTTCCCCACGGACTGCGTGTACGTCATGCCCACTGTCACCATGCCCCCACGGGAGATTGTGGTATGTGGCCTGGCAGTGGTGGATGGATGGGAGGCTCCTCTAGACTCCTCTGTCATCTTCTTATATCTATAAAATGGAATGAAGCATTGTAATCAGGGGATGACCTGCAGCTTCCGTAAAGATATTTCAGGGGGCCGTAAGGGACCACAGTCTTATAGCAGGGGCCTGGAGATGACATCAGAAGAGGAACTGCCAAGGGGAGAGGAAGGGAGGAGAGTGGCCCAGGGGGAGGGGTATCATCTGGCTGGCTGAGAGGGAGTGAGGGCATAGTGGGCAGGTGGCCTGGCTCTTCTGGGGAGCCCCAGACCAGAGCCCAGCTCCTCAGATGACTCCTGAGCTGGGCTTAGGTGACCTGGCAGGTGGGAGCCCAGCATGATGAGGCAGCAGGAGCTGCAGAGTCCTAGGGAGGAAAAGGGCTCCTGGGTCAGAAGAGGCATGAGGTCCACTCCCAAGGAAGTGGTCTCCCCTACCCCTAATCTGGGAGGCATAGAGCTTTACCATGTTGATCCCAGTGGTCCCAAGTGGAGAGCTGACCCGAGCCCCATCTCTCGGCTCCTAGGCTCTGGTCACCATGACCCCCGACCAGAGGCAAGATGTGATCCGGCTCCTGCAGCTGCACACAGTAGAGCCTGAGGTGCGCAGCAAGCCCTACACGCTGGAGGAATTCTCCTACGACTACTTCAGGTGATGGCTCCAGGGACAGAGGCAGCAGTTTCTGTCCACCAAGCTGGCCCTTCTGAAGGTCTCATTCCTCCTTGAGATGGTGATTGGCCTGCACAGGCAGGTCCTGGGGGCACCTGATGTACACTGGTGCTTGATGCACCCTCAGTCGTGCTGGGGAGATGGGCCAGAGAATGGGCAGCTGTGGCTCTGCATGCCCAGAGTGGGATGGTCAGTGGCTTTCTGGAGGCAGTGGCATCTGCTTCCCTGGTGGCAAGGCAGGGTGGGGAAGAGTATAGCCTGTTCCTGCCCTCAGCAGCTTCAGGAAAGGGGCAGGGTGGGCATCTCACCACCTGCAGGTCTTTTACCCCACCTGACTGTCCTTGTGCCATGACAGACCCCCACCCAAGCACACGCTGAGCCGTGTCATGGTGTCCAAGGCCCGAGGCAAGGACCGGCTGTGGAGCCACACACGGGAGCCACTCAAACAAGCACTACTCAAGAAGATTCTGGGCAGCGAGGAGCTTTCACAGGAGGCCTGCATGGCCTTCATTGATATCCACACCAGCAGTGAGCGAGAGGGGCAGGATGGGGTGCCAGCAGGGGACCTCAGGGCAGACAGGGTTCTTGTCTCCTCGGCTAGACCTTTCTTTCCCCCTGAGGGGCAGGCTGGGTCCTGGAGATGTATGCAAGGGGTGGCCTTGCCCTTTGCCTCCTGTGACCCTGCCATTTGGTGTCAGATAAATGTACCCTGTGCTGAGCCAGGTATAGAGAGAGAGCTGTGACCAGAGCCAGCCCCTGGCCTCAGGGGACAACATGCTGACCAGAAACTGTGCTGTGAGGGGGCTGGACAGCACAGAGAGCTGACCTGGCCTGAAGGGGGCAAGGAGGACTTTCTGGGGGAAGCAGTGTCTAGGGTGACATGAAAGCTGGACAGGACTTAGCTAGGCAAAGGGAGATGTCTGGGGAGTGTTCCACACAGGGGGAGAGGCCAGACAGCAGGGCCGCCTCAAGGGGCACAAAGTAATTCAGCACATTTGGACGGCAGGTGGGGCAAGGAAAGGTTCCTGAGCCCTGTGAATTAGCTTGGGCTGTAGAGGAGCCCCTGGGCAAGAAGTGGCACAGTTAGCTAGACTGGTGATTTGGAAAGTCTGTCCTGCCTGTTGTGAGGACTTGGGACATGGGGCTGGGGGCTGTGAGGAGCTGGCCAGGGGAGGTGAATAGATCGTGCCTGTTTTGTAACTGAGTAGCCTGAGGCCCAGGGCCAGGGGGACTGTAGCTTCCTGCCTCCCAGGCCAGTGCCCCCCACCATTGGCCACACATCCTTCCTTGACACCTCTCACCCGTGCTCAAGTACATGGGCGACTACCCCTCCAAGAGGGCGCGCTCCATCAACGAGCTCACTGATCAGATCTTTGAGGGGGCCCTGAAGGCCGAGCCCCTCAAGGATGAGGCCTATGTGCAGATCCTGAAGCAGCTGACTGACAACCACATCAGGTAAGCGGCCTGGTGGGTCACAGCATCCAGGGGCGGCAGGGGTGGCAGGTGCTCTTCCTGGAAGTGGGAGCTGCTCTCACTCCTCATGGCCTCACTTGGCCTGTGGTCTGAGGTCAACCAGTCAGAGACCAAGAGAGGGGACTGCACCCCTTTGAATCTGTCTCCCCTCATAGTAACACCCCAGCTCCTCCCACTGCTCCTAGTGGTCAGCTCGAGCTGCTTCTGCACAGCCCTGCACCCCTGGGGACTTCCAGGGGAGGCCAGCCAGTCCTGGCTCAGGCTGAGCTGGCTGCCTATGGGAAGCTCTTGCTGAAAATGCTCATGGGCTGGGGGTGTTGGGCCCCAGAGAGTGTCACCTTCTCCCCTTTACTGGGCCAGCTTGAGGCAGGAGTGGGAAGTCACCTAGGAGACAAAGGAAAGCTCCACCTTTCCCCCTTAGCCAGCCCCCACCTGCTTTCCCAAGCTTGTCGCTCTTTTTATCAAAACCTTGTGCACACGTCCACCCTGGAACCACACATCAGATCTTTTCAGACCGTCAAGCCTTTGTGCATGCTATGCTCTTGCATAGAGCCTTTTATCCCTTTCTGTGCACAGCAGAGTTTGCTTCATCCTTCAAAACCTAGTAGATCAAAGCCACCACTTCCCCAAGGAGCCCAGGGTGGTGCCCGGAGGGAGCTGGGGGAAGGGGTGACCTAGGGCAGTGCTACTCCTGGTGCAGGCGAGTTTGTGAGCTCTGCCAGGATATAAATCACACGTGGTGGTGGGGAACCTTCCTCAGGAAGGTCTTGCTTTGACAAAAAAAATCTCAGCCAACCCAGATGGAAGGCGTGGTAACTGAATTTCCATCCTGGCATGAACACCTGTCTGTCTCCACATGGGCTTATGGGAATAGTGTGTGGCCTGTCACGGGTGGGTGACCACATTGTGCCTAGTGCTAATTGGATCTGCCTGTCAGGGATGTGGGTCCGTGCTGGTCCTCAGATCAGGGGAAGAGCTGGGGGTGGCAGAAGGGTGCGCAGGTCCCCCTGATTCCCAGTGGTGCTGCCTCCTGCAGGTACAGCGAAGAGCGGGGCTGGGAGCTGCTCTGGCTGTGCACTGGCCTCTTCCCTCCCAGCAACATCCTGCTGCCTCACGTGCAGCGCTTCCTGCAGTCCCGCAAGCACTGCCCACTGGCCATCGACTGCCTGCAGCGGCTCCAGAAAGCCCTGAGGTACAGTGGCCACACTGGGCAGTGGGACAAACCCTTTGGGGATGACAGCATGGGCATGGTCTCTGAGTTCCTCCTGTGCTGGGGAGACAAACGCACTGCACTGCACACTGGGCTGTGCTCCAGACTCTTGGTTCCAGGCACTTCCCCCATAGCCCTCTGCAGTGGTGCTGTTGACATCCCCTTTCCCAGATTAGGAACTCGGGGCTCTGAGGGTGAAGTGGCTGGTCCCGCCATAGAAAGAAAGCCTGGCCAGCAGATTGGGGGTTGTGTGTTTCAGTTTTCCTCTGTTCCCTGGTCCCCATGGTTCCATGAACCTGTCTCCCCCCACCCTCCCCTGCCCTATTTTCAGAAATGGGTCCCGGAAGTACCCTCCTCACTTGGTGGAGGTGGAGGCTATCCAGCACAAAACCACTCAGATTTTCCACAAGGTCTACTTCCCTGACGACACAGATGAGGTGAGGGGCCCTGGCTCCTGGGTCTCGCACCCCTGATGGGGTGGAGTTACGTTGGTAGACACAGAGGGTGGTCCTGACACCTTACCTGCCATCCTGACAGTGCTGCCGAATCTTCCTACCCCCCCGGTGCAGTCAGGGCTATGTCAAAAGAGCACAGATGTCCTGGCCCCTGGTCCCACTCCTTGCTTCCTAGAGCAGCTTCCCTGAGAAGCCTCCCTCCAGCCCTTTCTCCCTTCCTCCCTCCATTCCTCCTTTTCTCTGAGGAGTATCTGCCAGAGCTGGGCTCTGCTGATGCCGCCTCCCTCATCCCGGCTCTGTTCCTGGGCACAAAGCCAGCTGGCCCGAAGCTCCAGGCTTCCTCTATTGCCTGAGCCCACTGTCCTGCAGGCGGGACACTGACCCCCTTCCTCCCTTCTCACCTTGTGTGGTCAAGGTCCTTTCCACCTTGGTCCTACCTTCCAAAGGTTGTGTTGTCTGACTGTCTCTCCCCTACTCCACCTGTCAGACTCTCAGATCCTCTCATCCATCTGGGCTGCTCCCCGCTGCCCCGCCCTGCCACTGTGGAAATTGCTTTTCCTCTTCCTCAAGTCTCTCCTTCTCATCAGTGCATTTCTGAGGCCTGTGGCCTTTGCCATCACTCATATTTGTACAGCCAGGTGCAGATCAGGGAGGTCAAAGCCAAGTCCAAGTTCTGGTTGGAAGGTCAAGCAGGGTGCCATCCAAGGGGACTGAGGCAGGAGCTTTTTGGTTTTTAAAAATGCTGTGCTCATCTCTGGACCCATGGAGAAGGCTCTTCTGAGAAGGGGTGTCTTGAAGGAAGGGGCTGTGTCCGGGAGGGGCCTGTGTCCGGGACGTATAGCCAGAGAGGCACAGGAGGACCAGGGTCCTAGGAAAGGCCTGCAAAAGCCATGTGAGCCCCACCCCCTAGGCCTTTGAGGTGGAGTCCAGCACCAAGGCCAAGGACTTCTGCCAGAACATCGCCACTCGGCTGCTCCTCAAGTCCTCAGAGGGATTCAGCCTCTTTGTCAAAATTGCAGACAAGGTGGGTCATTGGCTGGCTGCCTGCCAGCTGTTGGGAGATTTTCTGGGACTTTCAGGGTGGGGGAGAGGCACTGGCAGGGGACACACAACTGTTCCCACCTCCTTCTTACTCCCCTGCAGCTCCCCTTAAAGGGAGCACCTGCCCCTAAATCTCCCTTCTGAACCATTGCACATGGACTCAGACCCTTTGGGAGCCATGTGCCCAGGAACTGCATATTCGGGATATACCAGGATCCTCTCATATACAAGGTATGATTGAAAAGTATGGTGAACACTTAAATTCAAATTTTTTATGACAGTAAAAGACACATTGCCATTAGTCCCCTCAAAATACTTCCCCTCACTTCCAGCACACTTGTTCCATCCTTTCCTGCCACTTTCTGAAGCAGTTCTGGAAGTCTTCTTTCTTAAGTGTTTATTTATGCTGTCAAGGGTGCCTTGATGTCTTGAATCAATTCAGTGTTTACTTTTCATGGTCATTCTCACTTTAGGGAAGAGGCAGAATCACATGGTGCCAGATCAGGTGAATATGGTGGATGAGGACACACTGTGATGTTTCTATGAGCCTGCCTCGCTGTTGGATGACACTTACCAGCAGCATTAACTGTATTTGTGTCACACCTTATAAAGACACTCATGAAAGACTTCCAGAAATGCTTCAGAAAGTGGCAAGAACAATGAAATAAGCATGATCGATGCAAAGAGGAATATTTTGAGGGTGATTAATGGCAATGTGTCTTTTATTATAATAAAATTAAAAATTTAAACACATACCATATTTTTTGATCAGCCCTTGTACTCTGCAAAGTTGCTCTCACTGGTTCCTTACCTGCCATGCTGGGGCAAATTAATCCTTGAAGTGAGGAAACCCCTTCCAATCAGGGGTAGTCTTTTTAGAGAAGGGACCACTTGGCTGGGAAAGTCAGAAGAGCCAGTGTTTCTTGAACTAAAATGAATGGACTACAATGACATGTCCATAGGTTATCAGCGTCCCTGAGAATGACTTCTTCTTTGACTTTGTTCGGCACCTGACAGACTGGATAAAGAAAGCACGGCCCATCAAGGATGGTAATGGGGCTGGGTCCTGGGAACCTCTGAGGCCCAGAGAGGCCAAGTACAGGCTCAGGGACATGCTGCCAGGCCCACCTGGGTGGTGCCCAAGCAGAGGTCTCCTCTTGGGCCAACACTGGGTGCCCGCTGTGCTGGGACTTTCTGGGTGACCCGCTGCCCTGTGCCGTAGGAATCCTGCCCTCGCTCACCTACCAGGTGTTCTTCATGAAGAAACTGTGGACTACTACAGTGCCAGGCAAGGACCCCATGGCTGATTCCATCTTCCACTATTACCAGGTGAGCTGCCCAGAGCTTCTCTGCCCCTGTTGCCTCCACATGCTACTAGTTTTGCTCTACTTTGTGAAAGCAGAGACCAGCTGTCCTTGCCAGGGAAACCCCTGTAGCACCCACCTCAACTGGATTCCTGTCAAGACCACTGGGGTCCCTGGGAGTGGCCTCACCTCAGATCCTTCTGCATCCTGATCTTCTACCCCTCACGGGCTGGACAGTGCTTCCTCCCAGATCCCAATCCTTCCTGTTCAGGTCCTTCCTACAGTGCCTGGCTGTCTTCCTAGTCCAAGATCCTGCTGCTCTAACTGAGTGTTTCCAAAGCCCCTGTGCAATTCTATAATCATTTTGAGAGTTAGTCTTGACATCTCCCACATCCTGAATCTCTTGCCTACTGATTTGACTTCATGAACATCTGAACATTTAAATTCCACCTGTGTCTGTTCCCTCCCCTACTGACCTGGGTCAGTCCTCTATCATCTCATTCAGGTGACAGAAGTGATCTTTTTCCTGGTCTCTCCACTGGTTCTTCCCCAGTTCAATCCACTGCTTTCCAGGCCTTCTGGTGGCTTCCTATTGTATCTGAGGTATAACCCCAAATCCTACTTCTGCTGCTTCCTCTTGCACCCGGCACCTCTTGGCTCACTCCAGCTGTTTTTGAGAATCACATGTGTGCCATGGGGCCTTTGTAATGTCCTATCTGGGGTGCTCATCCCTCAGTTTCTTCCCTCACTTACTAAGCTTTTGTATGTCTAAATTTAAAGGAAGTCTTCCCTGCCCTCAAGACTAGATCACGCCACTTTGTTACATGCTCTTATCACTCTGTGAACAATTCCCTCAAAGACTGTAATTGTACATTATTTTGGCATAATTAGTAATGTCTGTATATCTTTTTTTTCTTGAGGCCATAAGTTCCATAAGAATAGGGAGGGCATGTGTTGTTGCTTAAAGGGCCTGGTGCTAGTAGATGTTCAAATGTATTTGTTGTATCAATGGATGGCTGAATAGATGAATTTGTAACTCAGTGAATGGGTGAGGAGAAGGATGAATGCTGAATGAATTCATGAGTGGCTAGTGGGCAGATGGATGGATAGATGGGGAGATGGATGAGGTGTGTGAGGTAGACCCATAAATGGGTGTAGGTGTATGAATGAGTAGATAGATGGGTGGGCAGATGGAAAGCCGTATGAACAGTGACTGACACAGGCCTCTGATCAGCAGTGCGTCCTTAGGCCAGTCTCATTTCTGAACACTTACAGTAGTGTATAATATGGTCCTGTGGCTTCAGGGAACCATGTGGGCCATGGCTGTGCTTTGCTTTTGGTCCACTCCCCCTCCTCAGATGCTCTGATTCTGGGTCTAGAAGATCAAGGAGGTGGGAAGGCTGGAACTGCTGATGAAACCAGTCAGTCCCAAGAGGACTTTATACAAGGAGGCCAGACTGACAGGCGTTGTCAACGGGAGGACAGATCCCAGAGAGGAGAGGCATGGAACAGTCTTAGATCCACTAGTTGGTCATTTGAGTGTCTTCATCTGTGAAATGGGGCTGCTTACCTCACCTGACTGTTAAGAGGAGAAATGGACAATGTTCTGACAGGGCTGTACTTTGAAATGATAAAGTGTGGAAACTGCAGGTATATTGCTATTTCCCTGTTCTGTGCCATTACCCTGGGGGCGGGAGGATCAGGATCATCTGAAGCTGGAGAAGTGATGGGCCCAAATGTAGGGGTAAGGTAGGAGTTCCCAGCCTTGGGGTGTAAGGATGGAGCCCTCTACCTCTAGATCCCTCCATGCCTGTGCCTGCTCTGTTTCTGGCAGGAGCTGCCTAAGTATCTCCGAGGATATCACAAGTGCACACGAGAGGAGGTCCTGCAGCTGGGGGCGCTGATCTACAGGGTCAAATTTGAGGAAGACAAGTCCTACTTCCCCAGTATCCCTAAGCTGCTAAGGGAGCTGGTACCTCAAGACCTCATCCGACAGATTTCACCTGATGACTGGAAGCGGGTAAGTATAGGGGAGGCAACAGGAAAGGGTCTTTGGGCACACCACAAGTCTGGGTGGCAGGTGCTGGCCACCAGCCCAAGGGAGTGCCGGTCACGGCTCCTGTGTGTGATTAAGACCACCTTCCATTCTGCTTTCATCTGCTTTATTCTCTGGTCCTCCATTCAAAGGATTCAATGGCCCCATGATAGTATTTTGTCCTGGTTAGCAGAGTGACTTGATTTTACTTGATACCTCTGGCCTGCCTTCCTAGCGGAGGGAAAGGAAATCGGAAGTCCACTAGCTGGGATGGTGGGAATTCCCTTGACACCCCTGGACTGCCTGTCCTATGTCTGGCCCTGACTGTGCAGACAGGTCATGGGCAGGAATGGTGGGAGGAGGGCTATGAGTGGACTGTACTGACCCACTTCTTCTGCAGTCTATTGTTGCCTACTTCAACAAGCACACAGGAAAATCCAAGGAGGAGGCCAAGCTGGCCTTCCTGAAGCTCATCTTCAAGTGGCCCACCTTCGGCTCTGCCTTCTTTGAGGTGAAGGTACGCCATGGGGAGTTCCTCAGTGAGGAGGAAGAGGGCAGAGAGGGGATGATAAGGCACAGAGACTCTTCCCTAGGACTGAGGCAAACAGTGATGGCCTTGGACAACTGCCCTGTTGAGGAAAATACTCTTACCCTTGCTCTAGCCAAGTGTCTTAACTAAGGACTCAGCCCTGGGGAGAAAGAGACTAAAGGCTCAGCCTGGCAGGAGAGGCAGACACACAGACAAGCCAGAATACTGGAGGGTGGCCTGTGCTGTGACAGTGGAAGCCTTCATGAAGGTGGCAGAAGTTGGGAGGCCCTGCCCCAGACTGAGGACGTGGCCTGGGCAGGCTGCCTGGAGCAGGTGACACTTGAGCTTTCTAGGGAGACCCTGGGGAGTGCTCCTGACAGAGGCCTGCAGAGGCAAAGGCCTGGAGGCATGAGAGGGTAGTGCAGGGGGTTAAATGTGTCTGAATATAGGAGTGAGGTGAGCACACTGTTGAGAGGGGCAGGTTGGCAGGCAGGTGCTGGGGCTGGGTGTCCTCCTGCAGGTGGTAGTGAACCTTGGAGGCTTCTGAACAGGGGTAATGGGGCTGAATAGCTTTTAGCTGCAGTGTGGAGAACAGAGCTGAGGGAAATGACCAGAGGCAGAATGGTGAAGAGGCTGGTATGAGAGGATGTGGGCTCTTGAGAAACTCAGCTGAGCAAGGAGCAGGGGGTAGGTGTAGCTGGAGGCAGGTTAAAGTTCAAGGAGGGCTTTTTACAGATGAGGAATCTTGGTTTGAGAGAAAGAACATGGCAAAGATTCCTAGAGAAGTAAGACAGAGGTGATGAAACTAATGCTGGAGAACTACAAAGGAATGTGGGGCAGCACTGAGGACAGGGCAGAGGTAGAAACCATGAGGTCATGGCAGAGTGTACCGCTGGCACCAAGTAGACTATAGGCTTGGTGGATTCATTCCTGCCCCTAAATGCTTTCCTACTGTGGTCTCCACCTGATGGTTTTCCATCTTTCTTTGCCAGCAAACTACAGAGCCAAACTTCCCTGAGATCCTCTTAATTGCCATCAACAAGTATGGGGTCAGCCTCATTGATCCCAGAACCAAGGTGAGCAGGGAAAGAGTGAGCAGGTGCAGTGGGTTTCTCTTCCTGCATGCTAACCAAGGTCCCAGACACAACCCTTACCAGCCACTATCCCTATTCATCAGCCTCCTTGCCACACGTCTTGAAAGGTTGTCTTCTTCCTTGCCTCATTTGCTTCACCAAAATTGCTCTCCTAGAGTTACTAACAGATTTCTTGGTGCTAAATCCCATGAACTCCTTTCAGTGTTTGGCCTTTCAGCACCACTGGCTGCTACCAGTTGCTTCCTCTTTCCAAAATGCTCTCTGCCCTTACTGGTTGGGATGGCAGTCTATGCTGGGGTAGCTGCATGTTTAAGGGCCAGCCAACGGGACCAAAAAGCATAAGCCTACCATGCCCCAGAATGTGAAAAGCACTAATGACCAGCATCTTCTCCTTGGCTTCATGTGCCACACATTTTTTCTACCTCTCACAATCATTTCTTTTCAGACATTTTTGTGGGCTTATCTACTAGCCCAGGTACACTGTGTTCCTCGAGGTTTTGTCTTGTTTTCTTCATGGTTCCTTCCTCACACTCTCCCTGGCTATCTCCTCTAGGCTCACAGTCAATTCCCTGAGGCCACTCAAATTTCTAATTTTCACTCCAAGTACCCAATCACCTCCTGGACTTTCTTGGCTGTCCAATTGGCTGGTCCAAAGCAGGGCATGGAGGCAGATCCTTTCCACAGCAGCTCCATGCAGAGCTGGCCTTTCCCTATCACACTTTTTTCATCTGAGGGCCTGAGGTCTTCCATAAAGTGGTGTCTGTCTGCTGGAGCTGGGGAGAGTGAAGGTTGCTATGCAGCTTCATTCCCTTTCTGCTCTCCCAGGACATCCTGACCACTCACCCCTTCACCAAGATCTCTAACTGGAGCAGTGGCAACACTTACTTCCACATCACCATTGGGAACTTGGTTCGAGGGAGCAAATTACTGTGTGAGACATCACTGGTGAGAGCTCTTCCTTGCTGGTCTGGCAGGGGTCCTTGCCTCTCCTGCAGCTTCAGCTGCCCCCCACCCCCAACCCCTAAAACAAATAGTGTGGTGTGGCCTGGGGTACTGGGACCAAGGGTCAGATTGGGGCCAAAGTCAGGTCAGTTTGAGGCTTGGCTTAGGTCTGGGGAAGGGTCTTATTCTGGGTCTGAGGAACGGACTCCTCCTTCAACAACTACTGTTTCTGTAGCCTGTGGTTGTAGCCCTTTTGCTCCTGAATTCAGTAGCCAAACCATTAGCAAAGACACATCCTGAACTGAGCTCAGACTTCTGAAGTATAGCTCATCTAGAAGCCTTTACAATCACTCTTGGAGAGAAGCATCCCAGGTTTGAGTGACCACAAGCTGGAAGCTTAATGTGGGGTCAGATAGCTTAGAATCTAAGCCATCTGGCTTGATGAGTCCAACTCCTCACCTTTGTAGACAGGGAGACCGAGTCGTGAGCAGTAGAGGATTGGCCTTGGCCCCAAGAGATGTGCCCAGGTCTGAGTGGCTGGTCCTGTCCCACTTTGTGCTCTGCTTCTTTTCTCACCCCTACCTCCAGGGTTACAAGATGGATGACCTCCTGACCTCCTACATTAGCCAGATGCTCACAGCCATGAGCAAACAGCGGGGCTCCAGGAGCGGCAAGTGAACAGGGGAGGAGACACTGGCTCTGTGCCTGCTTTCTAGGCAACATCTGGCTCAGGTGCTCAGCTACCCCTGCAGCTGGGAAAGACCTCTGCCATCCAGGCAGGGAGGCAGGGCTGGCCATCCGCCACTGACCATGTCACCACGTCTGCTGGCCCTCTGACCTGTCTTCCACTGAGGTCAGAACTTCCCTCTGTCCATCTGTGGTACCTGGGTTGGCTCTCACCCTAGCTTGCTGTGGCCTTCCCAGTTTACCAGCCTGTGCTCCTTGGATGCTCAGACAAGCTCCACCCCTGCTTTGACTTTCTGTATACTACGGGGACAGAAGAATTCAGAGGACAACCTATCTCTCAATACTGGGAACCACCAAACCAAATGTGCATTGAATACTCTGAAATCCAATGGACTGGGTTACTTCTTCTAAGTCAAGCATCCTCAGCTGGGGTGAGGAAGACAGACCACTTTTGTATATTGTGTTGTGACCTCTGGGCCCTCGCTCAAGTTTCCCTGATCATCTCAGGGCATAAAGCATGTGTTTCATCCTCTGGCCCTATAGTGTCTTTGCTGGGGGAGGGAGTGTGGGGTCAAGACAGGGACCTGTAGAGAAGTGGTCTGTATAACTACTTCCTTGCTCTGTGCTGGCCTGGCCAAGCTGGTTTGGGTATGGAGGTTGGAGTGCTTGAGCCCAGGGTGTGCTTCATAGTGTCTTACAGGGCCCAGTTGGGACCAGGATGGGTTTGGAGGAACTGGACATCAGTCTGAGAGGTGGGAATCTAATGCTCATGGACTGGGGATCTAGAGGAAGAATCAGCCTCTGGGTCTTACCTAGGGTCAGTGGAGCCAGAATTGGCCCTTGCTCCCTGGCAGAAACTTCCTGGTTCATCAAGATATGTCCAGGAACCCCAAGAACAACACTGCCTTGGATAAAATCCTGCATTCAGTGGAGCCCTGTGAAATGTTGCTTTGTGAATAGGATGAGACAACCAAGTTTTGGCATAACTGGCATAGGTCTCTGGAGGTGTGGGCTTCTGACAGGGCAGGGATGATTTGGGTAGAGAATCTTCTGGGAAGTGGCTAGGATGACTGCCTAGAGCTGTAAAAGTGGGGAATCCCTTTGAGGTGAGAGTGTTTGTGATCTGCCTGAAGGTCTCCTGCTCTTTCAGTAGAGCTGGGTCCTGTGTACCCTTACAGATTCACGTGTCTGGGCCACCCACGCCCTGGGGAGTTCTATTCCTGATTTCCCTAGCTCCTGGGAAAGGAGAGGGAAGGGCTGGTGTGTGCAAATGGAGGCCCCAAACAGTCTCACTTTCTGGGATGACAGTGTGCTGTCTAGGGAGATGTCCTGCTCCAACAATGTTCGTATGGCTCTACAGGATAGGATAAATCTGGGCCAGAAAAAAGGTCCTGCAGTGACTTTTCCCCATGCCATTATGCAGATGGGGAGGCTGAGGCCCAGAGAGGCTGGGGTGTAGCCCAGGGGTAGAGCATGGGCAAGGCCCTGAGTTCTAACCCCAGAGTCTCCACTCAAACGAGTTCCAACAAAGTTCCCAAGAAGATATCTGGAAAGTTCCCTAATATTTGAAAGCTAACATTTTTAAAAAATAATATTTTTATTTTTGATTGACACAGTGATTGTACAGTGTGACATTTCAATACATATATGCAGTGTGTAATGAGCAGATCAGAGTAACTGGCATATCTAACACTTTAGACATATATCATTTCCTTTGGTTGAAAAAGTTCAAATCCTAATTGTTATCATCCATAGTTATTCTACTGTGCTATAGAACATTAGAAGTTATTCCTCCTAACTGCAGCAATTAACCTTTTTCCATTGTTCTATCCCCTAAACCCTTCCCAGGCTCTGATAACCACTATTCTGTTCTCTACCTCTTTGAGATCAACTTAACTTACAGATATAAGTGAGAATAGATGGTATTTGTCTTTCTGTGCCTGACTTATTTCACTTAGCATAATGTCCTTCAGTTCCATCTATGTTGCTTCAAATTACAGAATTTCATTCTCTTTGTGGCTGAATAATATCCTATTGTGTATGTATACCACATTTTCTTTATCCATTCATCTATTAATGGATACTCGGGTTGATTCCACATCTTACCTATTATGAATAGAGTGCTGCAATAAACATGTAAGTGCAAATATTTCTTTGACATACTAATTTCAGTTCCTTTAGATATATACCAAGTAGTGAAACTGCTGGATCATATAGTTCTATTTCTAGTGTTTAAAATGATTGCTGTACTGTTTTCTATATGACTGTACATATATTTCTATTATATATAAGAATTCTCTTACTTTATTTGCATCCTCACCAGCATAGTTATTTTTGTCTTTTTGAAAACAGGCATTCTAACCAGAATGAGACAACATTTCCTCATGATTTTGATTTGTTTTTCCTTGACAATTAGTGATGAACATTTTTTCATATACTTGCTGCCCATTTGTGTACCCTCTTTTGAGAGATGTCTATTCAGGTTATTCACCCACCTTTAATAGATTATCTATAATTTACTGAGTTCAGTTCTTTATATATCCTGGAAATTAATAACTTCTCAAATGAATAATATGCAAATTTCTCTCTCACTTTGGAGGTTCTCTCTTTGCTCTATTGTTTTTTTCTTTGCTATCTAAAAGCTTTTCAGTTTGATATAACCCCATCTGTCAGTTCATATTTTTGTAGTCAGATCCAAAAAAAATTTTTTTTTTCTGAAACCAATGTCCGGAAGCATTTCTCCTTTGTTTTCTTCTAGTTGTCTTTGGTCTTTATAGCCTTTGATCAATTTGAGTTGATTTTTGTATATGATGAGAGATAGGGACCTAATGTCTTTCTTCAGACTATGAATACCCAATTTCCCCATATCACTTACTGAGAAGACTTTCCTTTTTCCAATGTATGTTCTTTCTTCCTTTGTAAAAAAAAAAAAAATCAGTTGTCTGTAAACATGTGGATTTATTTCTAGGTTCTTTACTGTGTTCCATTGGTCTACATGACTTTTTATACCAATACCATGCTGTTTGGATTCCTGTCACTTTGTAGTATGCTTTGAAATCAGATATCATAATGTGTCCAGCTTTGTTCTTTTTTGCTCAAGAATGCTTTGGATATTTTGGGTCTTTTGTGGTTACATACAAATTTTAGAGGTGTTCTTTCTTTTTTTGTGAAGAGTGTCATTGGTATTTTGATAGGAATTACATCAAATATGTAGATCAGTTAGAGTAGTATGGACATTTTAATAATACTCTTCCAGGCAATGAACATGGAATATCTTTCCATTTCTTTGTGTCCTCTTCAATTTCTTAAATCAATGTTTTGTAATTTTCATTGTAGAGATAATTCACTTCCTTGGTTAATTTTTTTCCTAGCTATTGTGAGAGATACTGTATTTTTCTCAGTAGTTTTGTTACTGGTGTAGAAAAAAAAGCTACTGATCTTGATTCTGTGTCCTACAATTTAGTTAATTCTTTTATAAGTTCTAACCGGGTTTTTTTTAGAGGCTATAGGTTTTTCTATATAAAGAATCACCACACCTTCCTTGCAAGCACAAAGTCCTGAGTTCGATCACTGGTACCAAAAAAAAAAAAAAAAAAGAATCATGTCCTTTGCAAACAGGGATAATTTAACCTCCTCCTTTCAATTTGGATTCCTTTTATTTCTTTCTCTTGCCTTGTAATTTGGCTAAGACTTCCATTGCTACTTAAATAAGATTGGTGAAAGTGGACATCCTTGTCTAATTCCTGATCCTAGAGGAAATGATTCCTCTTTTCCTGTTTCAGTGTGATGCAAGCTGTATGTCATATGTAGCCCTTATTGTGTGTACCTAATTTTTGAGGTTTTTTTAAAAACATGAAAGATGTTAAATTTTATTGAATGACTTTTCTGTTTTTGTTGGCATTATTGTATGGTTTTTAATCCTTCATTCTGTTGATGTGATATTTTAACATTTAGTGATTGCATAGGTTGAACCATCCTTGCATCCCTGGGATTAGTTCCACTTGACCATAGTATAAAATCTTTTAGGATTCAATTTGCTGCTTTTATGGTATGTATCCAGGGTGGGGAATAGCTGAGATTGAACTGAATGCCTTCACACTGAACTATCGCCTCACCTACTTTTTTTTTTTTTTTTTTGGTACCTGGGATTGAACTTAGGTCCTTGCGCTTGCAAGGCAGGGCACAGAACCACTGAGCTAAATCTCCACCCCCTCCTCACCTCCTTTTTAGTTTTTATTTCAAGACAGGGTCTCACTAAGTCACTAAGTTGCCCAAACAGGGCTCTAGTTTGTGTTCCTTTTGCCTTGGCCTTCCAGAGTGCTGGAACTGCAGGTATGTGCCACCATGCCCATTCTTGTTGTGAATTTTAAAATTTATTTTTATGAAGAATATTGGTCTAGAGTATTTTCTTTTTTTATTGTGTCCTTGTCTGATTTTGGTTCAAGGAAATGCTGGCTCCTGAGAATGTTTGGAAGGGTTCCTTTTCTTTTAATAATTTAGAATAGTTTGAGATAAATTGGCATTAGTTCTTCAAAAGTTTGGTAAAATTCAGAAGTGAAATGATTCAGTTCTGGGATTTCTTTGTTGGAAGACTTTTTAATTACTGATTCAATCTCATTAATAATTATTTGTCAGTTAAGGTTTTCTCAGTGCATGTTATATATTTACAGTTGTTATTTCATCTCGTTGAATTGATCCCTCTCTATCATTATATAGTGACCTTCTTTGTCTACTTTTTGTATTTTTATTTAAAGTCTCTTTAATATAAGTATAGTTCATTCACTTTCAATTTCCATTTACATGGTACTGTATGTTTTTCCATCCCCTTTATTTTCAATTTGTGTCTGTACTGGTGAGGTGAATTTCTTGTAGGTAACATATCATTGGATCTAGTTTTTGAAACCCATTCATCTAGTCTACATCTTTTAGTTGGAAATTTTATCCATTTACATTCAAGATTATTATTATCATTATTATTGGTGCTGGGGATTGAATTTACAGCCTCACACATACTAAGTATGTGCTCTATCACTGAGCTAGATCCACAGCCAACATTCAAGATTATTATTGACAAGCAAAGACATATTCCTGATATTCTAGGGGGTTTTTTTCTGGTTGTTCTGTATAACTTTTGCTCATTTCCTCCTTTCTTGTTCATCTTTGTGTTTTGATGGATTTTTGTATTGATAGGGTTTGATTCTCTGTCTCTTTTGTATATCTGCTCTACTATTGACTTTCGTAGTTTTGTATATTTTCATTATTGTAGTTATCCTTTTGTTTCTGGGCTAGGGGCCCCTACTTTTTCTTTTTTTAACCAGGGATCAAACTTGGGACCTTGTGCTTGTGAGGCAGGTGGCGGAACAACTGAGCTAAATCCCCAGCCCAGGGATCCCTTCTTTTAAGGAAGGTCTAGTGAGGGTGAATTCCTTCCATTTTTTATTGTCTTGGAGAGTATGCTTCATTTTTGAAAGAATGCTATGTTAGGTCTACTATTCTTGGGTGGAAATTTCTTTTTAGGACTTGGAACATATCATC